AGAATGAATCAGTCCAGTTTGCCATGGTGACACATAATCCCCAGATCTCACCGCTTTAAAACAAAAGGCTTTTATTTCCTGTTCTTGCTCCACATCCCCTGCAGGTTGGTAACAACTCTGTCTTTCGTGGTCACAGATGGCAGGCGTAGTCTGAGTTCTGCTGGCCATAGCACCACGAGGAAAGGGACATGTCGGAGGTGCCTGCCCCACAGTCAGTTGCTGTGGCATGGAAGTGACACACAGGACTCCTCCCTGCTCCTGGCTGAGAGTGAGCCGGGTGGCTCCATCTAGTGGCAAGTGCCCTAATTTGTGCCCTGATGGTGAAGAGGTGCAGATCTTTGGTGTGGGCACTTGTCCAACCCTGAGCACTGTCCTAGGAGCATCTCACGAATGGGAGCTGTGTGTACTCCTCTTTCTATTTACCACCGGGGTCCTGGGCCAGGAAAGCACTGGGCACATGTTTGCAGAGCTGATGTGAGGCTGGCTGTGTCCTGGCACTCGGGTTCTGTCTCTGTCTGCCTTCCACACCCGGTTCCCTTACCGTCCAGCTCTCCCATTGTTAGCTTCCTTCCAGGAAGCGTTTCTCCCCATAGCGACCCCAGGAGCTCTAAGGTCACTCTGGGGCTTAGGAAGCCCAGCAGAGAGAAGTCCTGTTCAGGTGTTCCATGAACGTCTTGAGATGGAGCCCCTTCACTCTGCTGTGTCCCCCACCATTCCCCGTGTGGTTAAGAGCTGGGAGGGTGCTTCTCCAACTGGAAGCCATTGCTGCTGCTCTCTGGAGAGTGTGGAGTCAGGGCATGGAGCTAGCAGATGTGTCAGCCGTGGATTGAGGGCCTGACCTCGTGACTCCAAGTCCAAGGTCATCCCTGGCACTCTGCTGCTTCTGTGTGTGGTGGCACCCCAGCTTGGCAGCTGCTCCTGCATCTTGAGATGCTCAAACGGGCAGATACCAACACTTCATGCCCCTCCTGTGCTGTACGATCGGGATGCAGACCAGGGAGAGCTGGCCTGTCCCCTGGAAGCTAGCCACCTCCAGCTCCACGTGGGCAGCTGGGCACAGAGCAGCGCCCATGGGAGGCCAGACATTCTTAGGCTCCAGGGCATGTTGTGGAGGTTCAGGGGGAAGGGGACCCCTCCCCACAAAGACAGCTCGCTTTGGGCTCCAGATCCATCCATTGGCTAGCAGGACAGGTGTCTCCCTGGATGGTTGGGGGGAGGGTGTGTCTCCCCTGTGCAGAGCTTGAGTTATTTGCAAAGAGACTTGCCATTCCACCCATTGGCAGGTTGCTGGAGGGATCGGGATCTAGTACCGACGTCCTCCATTCTCCACTGCCATTTGGGGCCAGCAGGTCTGCACCGACCCATCCTGATTGCATTTGCTTTATTTAATTTGGATTTTATTGCTGCATTTGTGTTACATTGATGTGATTGCCTTCATCCCAGGTTCATTTGTGTTTAATTGGTGATGGAAAGTTTTTCTCCTTTGATATTTACCAACTTAGTCGGTTCTGTTGGAAATCTTAATGACATGAGGCTGTCATGTTAAGTGAGGGACTTTGGCTCTCTGTCATGAATGATCTTTATGTCCTCTCTAGAATTATGAGGGAGCAGAGGCCCACGCCTCACCCTCCAGGAAGCAGTTCACAGAGCCACTAGAGGGCACTCGGTCTTGGTTTTTGGAAACTCAGAATTTCCCTGACCCATATTTTGCTCTTCAGTGTTCTGGTGGTGTCAGAATGTTGCTATGTTTGCTTCAGTAGATTTGACAAATAGCCGGGTCGAGGGAAATATGTCACCATGGCCTTTCCCGGAATATCCTGAGTCAGGTTCTTGGCATGGTTGTGACCTTCTGTGTGTCGATGCTGCGGGGACGTCCTCTCCAATGGAAGGCTCCCTGCCCCCAGGGTAGTCGTGTCACCCAGGCAGTCATGCAGGACCGGGAGTTTGAACCGTCCAGCTGGAGCCATGTGAATGGGCAGATTTAAAGGGATCCCAGGGTGTGTGTGCTCTGCTGTAGGATGTTAGTGAGTGGCTCAGAGCAGAGGCCTTGATGGAGACAAGTCACTGCTTCAGCCAGCCTTAGGCTTTGGGTGCCCCATGGGACTCCCCACTCCTCTGGGGCCTAGTTCGCCGAGGCAGGGCACCTTGCATGTCTGGGTTTTATTTTAATTTTAATTTTTTTTATTTTTAAAGATTTATTTATTTATTTATTTATTTATTTATTTATTTATTTATTCATTCAGAGAGAGAGAGAGAGAGAGAGAGAGGCAGGCAGAGACACAGGCAGAGGGAGAAGCAGGCTCCATGCAGGGAGCCCGAGGTGGGACTAGATCCCGGGTCTCCAGGATCACACCCCAGGCTGCAGGCGGCACTAAACTGCTGCGCCACAGGGGCTGCCCTATGTCTGGGTTTTATAGCACTGCCAGCAGCAGCATGGACAGAACCATGACAGCTTTGTAGTGATGCTCCATTATTAGCACCTGGGGCGTGCATCTTCTCCTGTGTCCTCTGCTTAGGAAACATCTGAGTACAGTACCAGCTTTATTAGGTGCACGCATCCCTTGCCCCAAAGAGCCCCATGCACCCCCCAGGTCCAGAGGGCAATGCCACTTCCCAGGTGCCAGACTGCATATTGGTCTGGGCCTAACTTCACAGTATTCTGGAAGCGGCTGGTGTGGGCAGCGATGGGACCTTGGGACACGCAGGTGTGCTTGGGACACATGTTCCTCACTGTCCCTGCCTGCCCTGCCTGCCCGAGCAACGGGTGGCCGGTGTGGTGGGGCTGGTGCAGCTGCAGGTGTGGATTTTGCGGGCAGGCCTGGGCTCTTCTGTGTGCAAGTCCAGCCTCTCTCCAGCTACAGCCCCCTAGTGCCCTGGGCCACCCAGCATCCTGTGTGCTGGAGGGCCTCAGCCACCTTCACTCTGAGCAACTTCTGTGGCGAGGCCCATGGCCACCCCGTCACTGAGCTGCCTGTCCCTTTATCTCTACACAGATTTTGTTTATGTCCCTCATTTCCTGTGATCAGTGTCTTAGGGAGGATGGCTTTTTACCCCCAAATAGTTAGAAATGAGGGTCTTCAGGTGAATTTGCCATATGAATTCTTAGTGTCTAAAGAACCTTTAAATAGTGATTAAAGCCTTATTTTCAGGGCCCAGTGGGACACTTATTTTTCCCCATCTTTCTTTAAATCACAGTGACTCTGTCTTGAGCAACGATGAACCCTTCTTCCCTCTGCCTTTTGGGGCAGCTGTTCCCCCATCCTCTAAGATCGCCAGACCCCTTGCTCCCGGGATGAGGCTTCTGCCAGTGAAGGCCTGACCTGCAGCTAGACCTAGGCGGACTTGTGAGCACCCTTCCTCAGGCCTGCCTCAGTTTCTCCCCAGAATGCACAGCCGTGTGTCAGAGAAGCACTCCTAGGGAGATAGCTGGCATTTGGGACAAAGGGCTTCAGTGCTCCATGCTACTCAGGTCTGGCCCATGGTTGGTGATGATGGGCAGGGAGGAAGTTGCACTGTGGGCTCCCCAGTGCTTCTGGGGGGACTTCTGTGCCCTCCAGCTTGGGGGCTTTCTCCAGGAAGACCGCTGCCTGGCCTTCTGTTCACCTGTGCACTTGTCTTTATATCCTCTGTGATCCTGTCTGGTCCCCTCACCAAAGTGCTTTCTGGGCCGTCTGATGTTTCCCATCTGTGTGATGCTGCAGGTGTGCCCTCCCGGCAGAGAAAACACCTGGTCACAGGTCTTTATGTGACCCTGTGGGACACAGATAGCCCAGGTGTCAGTGGAGGCAGTTTGGGCTTCTAGAAGCTGAATTGACAGGAAGGAGGCTTGGACGATTGAGCTTCTGTTGACTGTGATTTTCAGCAAGTTGAGGCTGATGGGGAAGTAACAGAGTGTCTTCAGACAGGTGGTGAATCTTGCTGGAGCAGAAATGTGAGCTGCTCCTTTGTCTCAGGCAGTCAGTGGGGACCTGTCCGCACAGCATTAGCCCTGGTGGTGGGGGAGCCACTGGTCTGGTCCCTTCCCATTTCCTGCAGTTTCATCCTTGTGAACAGAGTCAGCCTGTGGGGCTTTCCAGAGTCCCGGTATCAGGGTGGGATACAGAGGACTCAGTGGCTCTGTAATGCTTCCTGCCTTGGGATGGGCAGTGAGCTGCCGCCAGCACTCTCAAGTGGAGGGAGAGGTTCTTGGCTGCTGGAATCCTCCTCCACACTTTGCTTCTGGTGAGATGACACCTTTCTTGGGAGCACAGCTGGATCCACGATCTGCTGTGAGCTGGTTTCGGGGGTGAAGGCTTGCAGGCCAGAGTGTTTCTAAGTTTCTGGGAAGCGCCCTGACTTGGCTTGTGAGGATGGGGCTGGCCCCTGGACTTGGCAGGAGGATGGCACCTTGGAGCCTGCAGGCGCCAGACTTGGCATCACCAAGGTCAAGGACATGCATGGCCGCCGGCCCCTCCCAGGCCCAGCATGCCCACATCTAGAGTGCGCTGGACTCAGGACAGGTTGTGTGCGCTGGGCATCTGCGGGGGTGGAGGCAGGAACAGCAGGGTGCGGCATGTGCATCTGCTTCAAAGTTGCTTACTTAGCACAACAGCAAGTCCACCCTAGTCAGAGGAGTGGGGGTGCCAGGCCAGCTGACCCAGGGCCCCAGCTCTCCAGAGTCGGGAGTATGAGCAGATGGGAAGATGGAAAGGCACAGGATGGGTGTGTGAGGACTTCATGGGTCATGAAGCCCATTCTTGGTGACACCATACAGTCAGAAAGTATGAGGCCAGGTGGGGTGGCCAGGGGTAGGGGAACTGGAGTGACAGCAGCCCGAGCTCAGCTCCGTCCTCTGAGGCTGTGACCTGGGGGAGCAGCTCTGGACCTTACTGCAGAGTGATTGGACTGCCCAACGCCAGCGGCAACACCAGTCACAGCCCGGGGCAGACGGGTCAGGCCCTGAGTCAGGCCTCCCAGGGCTCCTGAGTGCCCCTCCCCACCTCTGTCTGCTTCCCCTCCAGACCTGCCAGCACTGCCGCCCCAGGGGCTCGCTGCCCTCCAGGACTCGCCGGTGGGACCAGGGGTAAGTCTGGGCTGAGAGGCCTGTTTCAGAATTCCAAAATCCATTAATTAAAGGCCCCAGGGGCAGAACGTTCTCTGCATCATTAAGAACAGTGGTGTCTCTTTTGCTTTGCTGGGACACATTCAGTACTTTTAAAAAATGATGTGCTCTCTCTGGCAGTTATGTCATAGCTGAGAATCTTTCAGGGCCGAGTAGCCTTTGTTTTTTTCTGAGGTGCCACAGTGTGGTCTTCATTTCCTTTTTTTTTTTTTTTTAAGTTGGGTTTTTAAAGTTTTTTAAAAGATTTTATTTATTCATGAGAAACAGAGAGAGAGAGAGAGAGAGAAAGAGAGACACAGGCAGAGGGAGAAGCAGGCTCCATGCAGGGAGCCCGACGTGGGACTCGATCCCGGGTCTCCAGGATCATGCCCTGGACTGAAGGTGGCGCTAAATCGCTGAGCCACCCGGGCTGCCCTGTGGTCTTCATTTCCTCCTGTCTTGTCTCTACCAGGAGAGGGTGCCTGGCACTGACCAGTGCCCCGGGCAGTGGGGCCAAAGCCAGGCCCATAGGCTGAGCAGCTGGTGCTGGTAAAGATGGGCCACCGCCTGTCAGACAGCGGATAGTTCTGTGTGTGAGGGTCTCCTGCATAGGAAGAGAGGTGCTGGTTGTTGGCTGGCCATTGAGTCCACCCCTTTGTAACCCCGATCTTGTCACAGTGCTTGCCAGTGGTTCCGGCATCACCTTGTTCAGGGTCAGAGTTGGCTTGTCTTCCTGATGACTTTGCCAGTATCACCCTGGAAAATGACTTATCTAGAAAAGTCGAATAATTCTATCAGACAGACTATCAAAGTCTGTCTCAAGGAAGTGGGTTTAACGTGTACCAAGCAGCTTGGAAACTCGTTCAGAAGTAAACGTTTTATTTGCCTGAAGACACATGTCTGGAGACAGCCTCCCAGGCTTCCCTACTGGCCCGTTACAGCAGTTTCCATGTCACCCTAAGTGTTCAGGGCCACAGAACAGTGCTGCCCACTTCCTGACGCAGGAAAGTCTCAAGACAGCTTGTGGGTCTGAAGGGAGCTGAACAGACCCCACAGCTCTTCTCTGCCCTTGGGGCTGCTGCTGGGTGGGGTCCCCCATTGCCACATGCCTACCCCAGCCACTCCTTTGATCTGTCTCGTGTTGGGTTCCTCTGTCCCAGTACCGTGCTGGGCCAGCTAACTGTGTATGTCATAAAGTGAGTCCAAGATTTGAGAGGCAGGTCTTCCATGGAGCGTAGGCCCTCCTTACAGCTGCATTCACTTTCCAGACATCTGCAACGTGACAGGAGGCTTACATGCACCAGGTTCTGGCCAAGCCCTTTCCACGACTTCTCATTTAATTCCCATGATAGTCCTGTGATTTAGGTACTATTTTCACCCCCATTTTGCAGATGAGGAGACAGAGGTAGAGAAAGGACTCGATGGCCTGCCCTCAGTCACACAGTAATAGTGGTGTGGGGATTCAGTCTCAGCAGCTGTCTCTAGAGCTCGTGTCGGCTCCCATTCCAGTCACTGCCTCAGTGACGGGATTGTGTCCCAGGCACAGTGGTGGTGAGACCTGGAAGGGACCTTGCACCTGTTCAGTCCCTGGCTGGATGTGAAATCCAGAGAAGTTCAAAGACCAGCTGCCCACACAGCCCATAAGTGGCAGAGAACCTGCCTTCCTCGGCCCTTCCTCTTTTCCACCTGCTGTTCCTTGTTACTATTGTTTTTATGCCAGTCTTACCACATGGTAGGGACCACATTCTTGCCTCTTAGTAACTAGTAAAGGAACGAGAAGCGGCCACCCAGCAAGTGGTTGCAGACCTCACTGCCTTCTGTGCTATGTCTCCTGGGTTTATGCCAGTGTGAGTGTATGTGTGTGTATGGGGGGGCGCTGGGATGTAGGGGGGCTGTGTTACACCTCTCACCCACTCTTCCTCCCCCCAGTTGTCCCTTTCCCAGCTGGCAGCTTCCCCACAGCCTGCCACCCGCTGCCGCTCAGCCACACCCCCTCCACGGCAACCCGACAGCTGTAAGCCCCCGCCGGCCCAGGAGGTAAGCATGGCCACCCTTCCTCCTTCCAGGGAATGACTCTGAACTCCTGACATCTGCTGGAGTCTTTGACTTTGTGAACTGTGCTGGTCCTTGGGGAGGTGGCTGAGACCTTCGTGGGTTCTCTGTGACATGGGTGTAGGGACAGGGTGGCAGGGGGAGTGGGTGGGCATGGCTTACTTCCATGCCCCAGGTACTTGCCACCTTTCTGTCCTGCAGACCTGGGTATTTGGTGTGGGAGCTCTCCCTGCTATGAGGCTTACTTAGGCTTTTACTCTGCCTGACAAGACAAAGTTAGATCCCCCTCAGATCTCTGTACATGAAGGGGGAAGGAAAGTTTTGTTAGAGTTCTAAATAGAGGCTGATCCAAGCCTCCAGTGTTCCAGGACACTCTCCTTGTTGGCAGCAGCTGAAGGAGAAGTAGTGAAGCCCACCGTCCTGGATTTGGATGCATCTAGTGGGGAAAACAGGCCTGTGTTTCCACTGACCTTGGGGAATTCACATAGAGTTTGGTTTCAAAAGTTGGCTGGCTCACCTGCCAACTGTATCTTCAGTCCTGTACTGGAAGTCTATTGAGGAAAAATAGCGCCATTAAATTATTTACTTGAAAACAGTCCCGTGAGATGCCTTGTTCTAGAACATGTCTAGGGCTCATGTATTTATGAAAAGCCTGCATTTCTTATTATAGGCAGCTGAGACATGTCGGAGTTATCGCTGGTTTTGTGGTATTCCTTTTGAGCTGAAACAGAAAGCTAGGTGAGCTGGTGTGAAAGAGAGCATTCTGATTCCCAAACAGTCTCTTCATTTAGACACGTCTTCTGCTCTGGAGGGATGTGGAAGGTGGAATACAAAAGAATGACTAGAATATTCAGGTGATGGGATCAGAAAAACATCTATACAGGCGAGCTGGGAGCTGAGTAGTGGTCTGTCTTGCAGTGTTGAAGGAGGGTTCATTTTTCTGGTCTATCAATGTGGTTTTTATGTTAATTGACCTTCTCAGACAGCAGATCTCTCAATGGTGCCAGTTCATAAAATTGATGATACCTCCCTCATTGCTTTTTGACTCACCTAAAATACGAAATGGCCCAGATAAATTAGAATTTCAGGTAAGTGGTGACTTTTTAGTGTAAGTTCCAGATATTTCATGGGACATACTTACATTATACCATAATTATTCATTGTTTGCCTAAAGTGTAAGAGGCACTTGGGCGTCCTGTATTTTCCTTTGCTGAAGCTAGCAGTCCGACAGGTGGCTCATCAGTGAACACCCCCCCATCTCAGCCTCCTCAGTTGTTACAGGCTGGGATCCTTGTTGGCCTCACTTGGGGCCTCATTTTGCTCAGCAGGAGCCCCCCTCGGAGGGCAGGATCTCTCACCTGGAGGCCCAGCTGAGCCAGGCGTCCTTGGTCCTGGGAGCCTCTGTTGCTGAACAGCTGCAGGAGCTGCCTTTTATGCCGGTGCACGCCCCGATTGTTGTGGGAGCCCAGACCAGGAGGTGAGAGGTAGCCCTGAGGCCCCTGGCATGCTGTGCTGGGAAGACTGACTCTGAACAACAGGCTTTCCCCAGAGAGGGGTTGTCAGCAGGTCCTACCTCTTTGCCGGCCCTTTCCTGGAGGCCGGCCACCATGATCTTTCTGTTTTAGCTCTGGAAGTAAGCTCTCACGAGCCTCAATGGTGCTCCTGCAAGCCTGCGGCTTTCCTGAGATTCTGGATGCCAATAAGCAACCAGCCGAGGCTGTAAATCCTACAGATCCTGTGAAATTCAACCCCCAAAAGGAAGAATCAGATTGTCTACAAAGCAACGAGATAGTACTGCATTTTCTTGCCTTTAGCAGGTGCGATCTTAATATATTCTGTTTATGTTACTCTTTACCTGGCTTTCACTTTCCTTGCATTGAAGAAACCCCTCTGTATGGCTCTGAGTTGGCAGGACTCTCTATGCTGAGGTTTTCCTGGATTAAGGAATGCTATGTGTTTTTGTTTTCATTTGGTTAGGGTGCTCACACAGCCATCTCTAGATGCTGTGAAACTGGCTTTGCCTGAACTTCTGTCATTGACATGGACAGTGTAGTTGGCCAATTCTTGGTATTGATGTAGCTCTGAGAGCAGGGTTCTCCAGCTGGGGCTGAAATGGGTTGCTGTCTGACGGGCTCCCCGAGATCCCAGTAGAGCTGCTCATGTGGGTGGATGAGGCAGTGTCTTGCCTGTGGTGCTGGGCTCTTGAAAACCCAGGTTCTCTACTATGGATACTTGATTAATTTGGGGCTTTTTTTGGATTCAGAGTGTCCCAGGACTGCCAGGGAGCACCGTGGCCAAAGACCGTGTATTTCACCTTCCAGTTCTATCGCTTCCCACCCATGACAACGCCACGCTTGCAGCTGATCGGGCTGGATGAAACGGGCAAGACAGGCTCTGGTTCCCTGTTGTATCTCCTGGTTCTCACTGACAAAGATGGCTCCTCTGATGCTGGTAAGTGCTTATGTGTCTGGCAAAGATGTGAGAAATCCAGCATTGAGCCTTGTTTATAAATTGTATTACTTACAAAATATTGTATGGTGAAAATATTCAAACACGTGCAGAATTTGAAGGAATAGTGTAATGAACCGGTGCTTCTGCCAGTGGGTGCCAGCAGCTGTCAACTGTGCCCCCCCCCCCAGACCCTAGATCCCTCGAAGCAAAATCTGTGACTATTTCCTTATGTATATTTAAAAAACAAAGAGTCAACTCTGGGAAACGAACTAGGGGTGGTGGAAGGGGAGGTGGGAGGGGGGTGGGGATGCCTGGGCACTGAGGTGGGCACTTGACGGGGTGAGCACTGGGTGTTATTCTATATGTTGGCAAATTGAACACCAATAAAAAATAAATTTATATAAAAAAAAAAAGAAATAGAGGGTAGTGGGATGCCAGAGAGAGGAAACGTCTTGAACAAATTAGAAAAGCAAAAAAAAAAAAAGATATCTGAAAAAAAATAGTCTTGTTTGAGAGGACATAAACTCAGTATTATCCTGCTTAAAATTAATATTAATCCCTTAAATGTTATCAAATATTTAGCTACTGTTAAAATTTTCCCAGGAACTTTTTAAAAAACTTTTTTGAAGTTGATGGAAGAAGGATTTTTGTTTGTTTTTAATGAGGATACAGTTTTTAATAGTTTGTTCAGATCAAGATCTTGGGAAGGTGTGTGTTGCGGTGACATGACTCTCCAGTGTGTGTGTCTGCAGCTCCCCTGCCGCCCCTGGCCTTGGTTGTTGTGTTATTTGTTGAAGTAGCCACATTGCTTCATCCTTCAGAGCTTCCCGCCGTCTGCACTTGGGTTTTGCCTCCCAGTGGTGATATTTACAGTGCCCTTCTCTGTCACCTGTTTTTCCTGGACATTGGAGATCTCTATGCATGGTCAGAGGGATGGCTTTGTTTTGGGCAGGAAGTCTCTGGGGCTGGGGCTGTGCAGGGGCTGGTCCCTTCTTTCTGTGGCTAGTCAGTGGCTGTTAGGATGGTTGCCCATAGGCTGGTTATTTTGCTCAAGGTTGAACAGTGGTGATGTTGTACTTCTGGAACACCTTTTTGTTTTTTTTGTTTTGTTTTTTTTATGATAGACGTAGAGAGAGAGAGAGAGAGAGAGAGAGGCAGAGACACAGGCAGAAGGAGAAGCAGGCTCCATGCTGGGAGCCCGACGCGGGACTCCATCCCGGGACTCCATCCCGGGACTCCATGATCGCACCCTGGGCCAAAGGCAGGCACTAAACTGCTGAGCCACCCAGGGATCCCCATCTGGAACACCTTTTTGTTTCTCAACTGGAATCCTTCCATAAAGAGAAACTTGCCCTCCTCAACTATGGGGTTACTTTGAGGTGTAGTCCATGTAGGAAAGGCAGAATGGTGTTCAGTTCTTCCCATTTATTTACGAATTTTCAAAATAATGAGCCAGTTCCGTAGCATTGTTTGAGAGTGGGGCCAAGGGCTTTTGTTTCTGGCATCATTGTAAACCACACTGCAATGGGTCAAAACACACCAAATATGTTGTTTTTATCAATGATGAGTTACCCCTCTTTGGCCAGTGGTGGGGTTTTTGAGGGGCAGAGCTGGGAACCCTTGCTGCCCCTTCAGTAGAAAGAACAGGTGGGAAATGCCATATTAAAATGATAATCAAGTGAAAGTAGTTTGGTGACATTAGCATCAGACAAAAGAGACAAAAGGCAAATGCGGTAATGAGGATAAAGAAGCCTATTAAATATAATCAAGAGAATAATCACTAGGAAAATAAATAATTCTGAACCTGTGAACTGCCAACAAGCAGCTTCAAAACACAAAAGAAATGTTGACACATTGACAGACTTTAGAAGGGGAAATTGACAAACCTATGGTTGTGGAAGGTGATGAACCTCCCAGTGAATTGACGCATCAAGCAGAAAATAATCAAGGATGTAATAAGATACAATTAAAAAAAATAATCTTATAAAACCTATAGAACCAATTTAGAGGACGTGCATTCTTTCCAAGCACGCTTGAGACTTATTTACAAGAACTGATCAGTCATGTATACGTGTGCATGTTTTAGGCCACGGTGCAGGCATCACCATGTTCCAGGAGACCAGTATCTGATCTGAATGGCATGAATTCTCTGACTGTAATACCACATGTCAGAAATCAACCACTCCCTCCCCTAAAAAGGCTCTGAACTGCTAGTTTTTTTTTTTTTTAATTTTAAAGCATACTTTTATTTATTCTGTGGGTCAATGAAGAAATCAAAATAAGAATGGTTATTGAAAACGGAATCACAAAATCATATTGCAAATATTGCAAAACAAATGAGATCCAGGTGAAATGTTATTTATAGGGAAATTTACAGCTTTAAGTGCTTGTATTGGGAAAGAAGAAAGTATTTTTAAAAATTCCGATCTAATTGTTCAACTCAAGAAGTTTAAAGAAAACAACCAGAACAAATTCAATATAAGTAGAAGGAGAGAAATTTTAAAATAAGCATAAATGCTTAGAAAACAGGTAGTAGAGTTTGTCTGGGCTTGGGGTGGGGGAGTCATAAGTACAGCAGGTTATGCTGTTCTCCCTTGTCCAAGGTCAGAATCAGTCAAGAGGGTCAGAGCTATTGCAGGCACTGGTCAGCCCAAGAGTTGGGTGTACTTGCTGGTGCTCACCTCATCAGATGGACTTTGCTGCCGACAGAGGTAGGACCACCTGGCCACAGACCCTGGGGTAGAGCCCTTGCCTCCTGCGTGTCTGAGGATCCAGCATCCTGGATTCCTGCAGACAAATCTGGAAAGAGAGAGGAGATGGGGGCACAGCTCAGGCCCTGTTCCTTCTCCCAAACCCTCTAGCCCATGAGCTGCTTTTGGTCTGGGAGAGGCACATGCTGGGCAGAGGGTGACTGTAGGGGGTCTCCACTACATGAAGTGTGTGGCCAGCTAAGGATGCTCTCTTGCAATACTCTAGGTTTTCTTTTCTCAACTCCCTGGGTTTCCTAACCATCCCGGGACCACTTGTCCCAAACCAACTGCCTTCCCTTTGCTGATGCTTCTGGGGACCATTGGTGGACAGTTTAGCTCATGCCCCCAGAAGGCTCTGAAATGGATCAGAATAGTGCATCGATTTCAAGGCTCCCAGGAACCTTTGCTGAGAAACTGTCTCCTCTTCCATTTCCTGTTCCCAGCCCCATCTATCTGCTCTATCTGGAGTGGTTCACCAGAGGTTCTGTGATGAGGTTAAATGAATAGTGTTCAGGTAATTTAATTCAAAAGGCCAACCATGGAGAGGTACTCTGGGTTCAAATATAAATCCTTTCCATTAGGAATTTCCCAGAGAGAAATTAGTCCAAAAATTAAATTTCCTTGTAAGTTGAAGTCCAAAGAAATTAAACTCCAAAATCACATTTTGTCATTATTGGATTAAGACTCGAAGTCCAAAAATCTTAAGTTGAAGTCCAAAACAAGTTCTTTTCAGTGTCTTACCTGATGAGGCTCAGCCAAAGGTCCGCCACCCCACTGCCTGGGCACCTGGCTGGCGCTAGGCTTCCTCCAGCAGCCCCAGCTCAGGTCCCCGTAGCTCAGTGCCTAGCCCCACTAGAGTCTCACTTAGGATGTATTTTCTTTTGTTAATGAAATGTAACATGCATGCAACACAGTGTTCAGTTCCCCGAATTTTTAAAAATTTATAGATTTTACTTTTTAGAGCAGTTTCAGGTTTAGGGAGAAATTGAGCTGGGGGTACAGAGTTCCCATCCACCCCTTGCCCCAGAAGCTCCCCTAGTTGCTGAACCAGTGTTGATGCTTTGTTGTTAGCTAAAGCTCAGAGTTCACGAGGCTTATTCTTGGTGGTGTACCTTCTATGGATTTTGACAAATGCGGAGCATCTGTATCCCTGTGCAATATCGTAGAGAATAATTTCACCACCCAAATATGCCCTGAGCTCCCCCTCTTTGCCCCGTCACCCCCTCCTCTGTCCTCATTGTTTTGGGGTGTTATACACTTGGAATTATATAGTATGTAGCTTGTCCCAACTGGCTTCTTTCACTTAGTAGTACACATTTGAGAGTCTTCCATGTCTTTTTGTGGCTTGGTAGCTCATTTCTTTTTAGTGCTGAATAATACTCCACTGTCTAGGTGGACATCCATTAGCTTACTTACTGAAGGGCATCTTCATTGCTTCCAGTTTTTGGCGATTATGACTAGAGCAATCATGGACATTTTTGCTCAGGATCTTGTGTAGACATAAATTTTCAACTCCTTTGGGTAACATCTAGAAGGATGGCTGCACGGTTGTATGGTAAGAGTATGTTTGGTTTTGTAGGAGACTGCCCAACTGTCTTCCCGAGTGGCTGTGCCATGTTGCGTTTCTGCCAGCAGTGAGTGAGCGTCCCTGCTACCCCACATCCTCCCAGCATTTTGTGTTGATGGCGTTCTGGATCGTGCCCATTCTCATATGTACATGGTGACATCTCACTGTTGTTTTTATTTCCATTTCCCTGATGACGTGTGATGTGGAGCATCTTCTCATGGGCTTGCTTGCCACGAGTCCTTCTTTGGGGAGGTGTCTGTTCAGATATTTTGCCTGTTTGTAGAATGGATTTTCTTATTGTTGTATTTTTTAAGAGATCCTTCTTATATTTTGCCTGCCTGCACTATTATCAGATGTGTGCTTTGCGAATATCTTCTCCCAGCTTGTGGCTCATCTTTTTCACGGTCTTACCGGTGTCTTTCGGAGGGCAGAGGTTTGTAATTTTAATGGAGTCCAATTTATCAATTATTTCCGTCATGGATCGTTCATGTCTTTGGTGTTAGAGGTAAACACTCGTCACCACACCTGGAATTTTGTCCTCTACTTTCTTTCAAGAGCGTCTAAGTTTTGTGTTTCAAATTTGGGTCTGTGACCCATTTTGAGTTAATTTTTATAACAGCTGTAACTTGTAGACAGTGAACACATCTGTGTGATCACCAGCCCACTCAGATAGGGCTGCAGACCCATCCCCAGGCCTCTCCCAGCCTTCTCCTTTCCCACCATCGGTGGCTTCCCCAGGGGTGACCACTCTTTGAATTCTGGCCCTGTAGACCAGTGCACCTGCAGTTTTGAACTGAAATAGGATCATCTTGCGTGTGCCTTTCCGAGTCTTACTTCCACTGGATATTGTGTCTATGAGGTCCACGCAGGTTGTTGTGTGGGGCAGTAGTTTGTCCTTTATCTTGGCTGTATAGAAGTCTCTGTCTGAGTATTGCACATCATTTATCTGATTGGTTGTCCATAGACATTTGTATTGTTCCCAGCTTCTTTTTTTTTTAATTTTTATTTATTTATGATAGTCACACACACACACACACACACACACAGAGAGAGAGAGAGAGAGAGAGAGAGGCAGAGACATAGGCAGAGGGAGAAGCAGGCTCCATGCAGGGAGCCCCATGTGGGACTCGATCCCAGGTCTCCAGGATCACACCCTGGGCCGAACGCAAGCGCTAAACCATTGAGCCACCCAGGGATCCCAAGATTTTTATTTTTAAGTAATCTCTCCATCCAGGGTAGGGCTCAAAACCACAACCCTGAGCCTGAGACTTGCAGGTACCTCATAAAATTTTGCTGTTATGCCATCTAATGTGGTGGTCTTTAGTTTTATTGCTTCTAAATTCCTGAGTCATGGATGCGAAGGTGTTCTCCTTGGTTCATAAAGAGATTCACACACATTTTCTCCAGGGGCCTTATAAGTTTCATTTTTTACATGAGACTTCTGGTCCATTTGTAGTTTGTCCTGTTGTGTATGGAACATAGGAGGCCAGGTTTATCTTTTTTTCAAACGTCTGTCCTTTTGACCCAGGGCCATTTATTAGAAAGTCCATCTTTTTCTAAAGTGACTTGAGAGCCACCCTTACCTTATACCCTTTTTTTATGGCTCAGATTTATTCTGGACTTTATATTTTGTTCCATTAGACCAGAGGTTGGCAGACTGATTTCTGTTAAGGGCCAGATAGTAAATATTTCAGACTTTCTGGGTTATATATGTTCTCTCTGGAATCTTCTTCTTTTTTAACAAACCTTTAGAAATGTGAAAGCTCTTCTTAGCTTACAGCTGAATCAGCCTGTGGGCTGTGGTTTGCCAAGCTCTGCATTAGACCACCTGTCCACACAGTGGGTGTGCTGTGGAGCTAGAGGTGCAACTTTGCTCTGACTTACAGCTTTCCCTCCACTCCACCATGCTCTTCTTCCCTGCAGCCCCACCACCACCCCACATTCTGGCTGGGTTTCCATGTGAAACTGTTAGCCCTTTATGGGAGTTCTGCTGAATCCAGGTTAACCTCGGGAGAACTGCCCTCATGGGACATGGGACAGGGATATGGACATCCTCTCATGTCCTCACTCCTGCTTCCCTGACTCTCCAAAGACACACTCATGCAGGTTTTGCTCTTTTATTATTTTCTAACCATTTAAAATTCATATTTATCTTTCTTGCCTTTTTTTTTGTATTCTTCAGTGTTATTTTTCTAATTTGAGTTGCTTAATTCACTTACTTTTATTCTTTTGTTTTTGTGGATGCAAAGTATTCAAGGCTATGAATTTTCCTTTGATTACAGCTTTATGCTTTGGTGATTCAGATAAGTAGTATTTTCATTATTTTGTAGAAAATCTGTTTGGATTTTTTTTTTAAGATTTTATTTATTTATTCATGAGAGACAGAGAGAGAGGCAGAGGCAGAGGGGGAAGCAGGCTCCATGCAGGGAGTCTGATGTGGGACTTGATTCCAGGTCTCCAGAATCACACCCTGGGCTGAAGGTGGTGCTAAACCGCTGAGCCACCTGGGCTGCCCTGGAGTTTGTTTTCCATTTGACATCAAGTTATTTAAAAGTAAACTGTAAATTAGTTTTTAAAAAATTGTTTCTAGTTTCTAATTTGTTGCATTGTATTCAGAGAATACTGTTTGTGTTATTTTCACCTTCTGGAGCATATTCAGGTTTTCTTCGTGGCCAGGTATATAGTTAATTTTTATTAATGTTCCAGATAGACTCGAAAGATATATTCAATGTTAGCAGGGAACAGTGTCATATGTACATGTATATGCTCTATGTGATGGATTATCTCGGCTGGCCTTCCATGCTGTTGTTTATTGCCCACTAGGCCTGCCCTGAAAACAAAGTGATTAGTTGATCTCTCCTATTATTATGTTTTTATCTGTTTCTCCTTGCATCTCTAGATTTTTGCTTTGTCATATGGTGTGTAGATATTCCCAGCTGCTGTATATTCATTGTGGATTGTAGACCATAGTGTTATAAAGTGCCTGTCATCTGTGGAAGTTGTGGATGCCTTCGCAGAGTAGGGGTGTTTGTGGGGTCATGAAGGAGAGATGGAGACTGAGGACCATCCAACCGGAGGAAGAGCACCTACCACACTTGGATGTGGGGGTGTGGCTGGACTGAGGCTCAGAATGGAGCGAGCTGGGCTGGGGCTTGGTGTTTGAGAGGGGGTGAGGGAGGTAAGCTTGGGAACCTGAGTGGACCCTGGGGAGGTGCCACTGCCCCTGAGGTCTGTCTTGTGTGAGTAGATGGTCAGTATCATTGCTCACTTCTGAGCAGGATGGAGATGACACAGGGTTCTCTTTGCAGATGCTTTGGCTGTGTAGTGGGATGGACTGCAGGGAGTGTGGACCTCAGGGAAGGCCACTGAGGAACCGGTTGTCTGAGCCGGATAGAAGTAAAGGGGCCCAAGCCTGTGGCAGGAGGAACTGGGTGCCTCCAGCATGAGAGCCCTGAGGCTGGGCCCAGACCAGGATGGCCACCACAGCCCCACATGCCTCCCCCAGGTACTCAGCATGCCATTAGCTCTGGGCTGAGTATGTTATCCTGTGACCATGAGCTCCATCAGGTGGGGACCCTCCCTGTTCGTCCTCTTCTCTCACATTATCCCTGCGTGGTGCTTGGTGCACATGCTGGGGGCACTGCAGTTATTTGTTGAGTGTGAGTTAATGGTGTGTCAAAAGGACCAGGCAGCTGAGTGGATGCAGTGGTGGTGGAGCGGGAGCCAGCCTAGCAGGGGTGTTGCAAGGGCCTGGTGCCAAGGAAGTACTTTGGGACGATGTGACAAGGAGTTGGTGTGGGAAAGATGGAGGGTCCATCTGGGACATGCATCACTGGGGAGCAAGTAGAACTCTGGATGGAGAGTCTGTGGATCTGGGGGATGCTGGAGGTGGAGTATGGAGCTCCCAGGGCTGGTGTCTGTAGGCATCGTTTGGGAAGTTGGCCCACAGAGGTCAAACCTGTTCTGTCTCCTCGAATCAGAAGTGTGACCAGTGTAGAAGCCAGTGGCTGAGCTCTTCCTTCTCCTGTAGCCCAGGTGGGCCTGGTATGGGGTGCCATACCATTCGGACCATGAGCAGGGTCTTGGGTGTTTATAGGTCTTTGGTCCTCACCATGCATCTAAGGAGCCAGCCTTAGCTCCCATTATTTAGGGGGTGTCCTGAGAATGACCAGTTGTCACAGGCCACTTAGGTCTCAGCTGGTGGGTGGCACTGGGGACTGGGGCAAGGGTGGTAGGTGTCCTTGGCCTCCATTGGCCCTGTGACTTTTGTCTGGTCACTGGAGATGTGATACTAAGGACTGGCCTGCCGCTGCATGATGTCATTGCCACCCCCTCTCTGAGCCTTTTTCCTGATTCCTTATTGCTGGGCTCCCTTAATGAGGTGTCCCTGTGAATTCTCACTGTGGTCGGAGCCAGGCCTATGGCAACTGGTCCTGGCTTAGTGTCCCGTAGGCCCACGAGAGGCCCTCAGTGCCCAGTGCTGTGTCCCATCCCAACCCGCTTCCCTCCTTCAACTAGAAGGACTGTTCTAGTCTTGAGAGGAGAGGGGATGTTCATGACTGTGTGCCCCCCCCCGCCCCCGGGGGCTGAGGTGGCTGGAGGCAGAGACTGACTTGGGTCGCACTTCCCAATGCTGAGTAAACATGCTAGTATTCTACTCGTCAGAGGCTCTGAAAATAATGTTGTTGTTTTTTTTTTTTAAGATTTTATTTATTTATTCATGAGAGACACACAGAGAGAGGCAGAGACATAGGCAGAGGAAAAAGCAGGCTCCATGCAGGGAGCCCAATGTGGGACTCGATCCTGGGACCCTGGTATCATGACCTGAGCCAAAGACAGATGCTCAACCGCTGAGGCACCCAGGTGCCCCTGAAAATAGGTTATTGATGGGAAGGGGGAAATGTTTGTGTTGTTCCCTGCACTGTAACTAATGATTTTAGTGGTGTTTTTGTCAGTTTAGAATCGACGGTGATGCCACCTGGAAAAGCTGTCTCAGAGATGACCTGGTAGCCGGGAGTGGCCGCTGGGGGGTGCTGTGTGAGGGCAGCTCAGCCTGACCTTAGCCTGAGCTCCATGTGTGTGCGCGCGCGCTCATGTGTGCTGTCCCACTTTTGACGGCAGACCATGTTTCCCCTTAAACCCTGCATACAGAATAATGACCTCCCTGGGCAGCCCCGTCAGGATATCTGTCCCCGTTCAGGATAGACTGTTTCACAAGATTCTTCCCTGGGGTATTCTGGGAGGAGTTCATTGTATGTATTGGAAAGAAATGTAGACTTCCTGGATACGACTCTGTATTTTGTAAATGTGGATGTTTTATGATGTTTTTGATTAATGTGTTTATTAAACTGTAGTTATGACGGAAGCAGAAATTAGTGATTGTGACCACAGCAGGAGTCTCTTCAAAATGTAAAGATGATAATGACTCAAATCACTTTTGGGCTCATTCGGGGCCTCTCTGAACAGGGGCACCTGGCTTTCAACTCAAGTACCTGGTGGAACCTGGGTTCCTGAAACCCGGAGAACAGCGCTGGTTCACCCACTACCTGGCTGCTCAGACCCTCCAGATCGACGTCTGGGATGGAGACTCCTTGCTGCTCGTGGGATCTGCAGCCGTCCAGATGAAGGTGGCAGTGCTCTGCAGCGGGCCGGTTAGGGTGGGGTGTCCCTCCTGGGTGGGGGGTCTGCTCAGTTGCTGGTTCTCGTCTAGTGTGGGCTGTCATCTGACGTCTTTGTTCATAAAGTCCGTCCTTCCCCAAAGGAAAAGATTTTCCCAGAGTCTCAGCTGTGTAATGCGAGATTATCCCTCAGTCATCAGCTCCTCCTACAGACTGACCACAGGTGCAATCTCCTTCTGCCTCTGCTCCCCACCAGTGAGAGCAGGGGCTTGGCCCACAGAGGGTAGGATGAGTCATCGATTGGGTGTGCAGAGATCACCTGGTGCCTGCTATCTGTTATTTCAACTCTGCTTTTCTAATTGTAATTAGAATCTAATTCTTTCTCTAATTGTGCTTTCCATCTTCCTCCTACACTAAAACCTAAATCCATATGTTAATTTAAGATTCTTCCTGGGGCTTCTACCCAGAGGGTCAGTGTAATTACACAGCAGCTCCTGGGCTAGGGACTGGGGACACGGTGTCCCGGCTGTGGGACGGAGGTGGGAGAGGACACAGCTTCCCCTCTTCCCTCTGAGGGCTAACCTGGATTGTACCATCCCTCCTCCACCCGATTCAGTGTCTACCCCTCAGGAGTGATGCCCCCAGGGGAGCAGGAGGAGTGAGGGCAGGGGTTCCCCATGGTGAGCACCCAGCAGATATTGGCTGATGTTCTCATTCCTTACCCTGGTCCCTTGGGCCTTTCTGGGTCACCGTGCAACCCCAGGGGGTCATCGTGGCCATTGCTTGTCTGTCTCTGATGCTGGCTGGTGAAAGTTCTAGAGGGTAGGAATGGGACTGCTCTTCATCTTCAGTGCAGTCATGACCCCCACAGTGGGCATGGTGCTGTGTAGCTGGGAATGAGCAAATGGAAGGAGCATTGAGGGGATGGGGGGGGAAGGGTGAGGAATGGAGGGAGGAGGGAGTGAGGGAGGAGAGAAAAGAGGGAGGAGGGAGAGGAAGGATAGAGGAAGGAGGGATGGAGGGAGGAAAAAATGGGAGGAGAGAGTGGAAGGATAAAGAGAGGAGGGATGGAAGGAGGAGGGAGTGGAGGAGGAGGGATGAGAGATAGAGGGAGGAGGAGGGATGGATGGAGGAGAGATGGAGGGAAGAGGGAGGGTGAATGGAGGGAGGATGGAATGAGGGGAGGGAGTGGAGGGATAGAGGGAGGAGTGATGGAGGGAGGAGGGCAGGTGGATGAAGGAATGGGGGAGGAGTGATGGGGAGGGATAGAGGGAGGAGGGAGTAGGGGGAAGTGGGAGTGGAGGGAAGGAGGTAGGAGTGGGGGGAGGAAGGGCACTGCAGGGGCAGAGAGGAGCCCATGTGACCTTGGGACCCACTGTGGCTCCTGCCTCATCCCTTGCGGAGCCCGGTGTCCCTGGAGATGACATTACTCTAGATTGTCCTCCACAAAGAGCCCCTGAAACAAATGCTGTTGTGATTTTTTTTTTTATAATTTTTTTTAAATTTTTATTTATTTATGATAGTCACAGAGAGAGAAAGAGAGAGAGGCAGAGACACAGGCAGAGGGAGAAGCAGGCTCCATGCACTGGGAGCCCGATGTGGGATTCGATCCCGGGTCTCCAGGATCGCGCCCTGGGCCAAAGGCAGGCGCCAAACCGCTGCGCCACCCAGGGATCCCTGCTGTTGTGATTATTGACACTTAACTTGGATAAACTAAAATTAAATTTTACTTTTTAAAAATAAGGTCTTTACCTTAATAATTTATATAGAAGAGATGGGAGATGAGGTAAGAAGAGAGAACCGCCTGTTAACTCCAGGTGTTGAGCTAGCTGTGTGCCTTGGGTAGGCACATTTTCTGGAAGGTATGGATACACCAGGACTCGTCTCACTTGCTCTCGTTGCTGGGCACTGAGTGATTTTTTTTTCCCCGCGAGCAATGTTGCAGTGAACATCTGGACGTACATTTTGCCCAATCTTCAGCTCATCCCCAAGGCTACAAGGGTGTTGTTAGGACAATAGTGACAGTTGCCACGGCATCTGATTGCTCTTGAACTTCGTGGACGGTGTCCTCAGCCCAGTCGTACTGCACTGTCTTCATGTGCTGCTGAGAAACAGGCCCACGGTCACGCAGACCACAGCAGACCCAGCCTTTTAGCCCAGTTCTGACTTGGAAGCTTGTGCTTATTACCATCACTCTCTGCCCTCCCCAGATGAGAACTCGTCAGAAGTGTGGTTCTGAGTCAGAGGTGTGCCTGTGTGGGAGGTTTGGCACGCAGAGTAGGCGGGTGCGTGGTTGGGGAGTCCGGCCAGGTCCTCATCCTCCTGAAGCAACCAGAAGGCTGCCAGAGCCACTACAGAGGGGTCATTTGGGGCACTTCCACTCCCAGAGCTAGGCATGTTTGCTGTAGTAGAAGTGCAAGAATTCCAGAAGCTGGGATGCTTGTCTGACCTCCACATGCCCATTTGTGAGTGGGAAGCACTAGTTGAAAGGTCAGGTGACTTTCCCAAGGCCTCCCAGGAAGAGGCCATTGCCGGCCTCACTATGACTTAGGCTCAGGCAGGGCACTGAGGGGTGAACTGGATTAGCAGAAAGCACTGGGTTTGGGAGGCCTGTCCTGGATCTGCTCTTGCCGGCTCTGACCAACCTGGGCCTCGTGTGGACCTCCACAACCAGGCCTCACCTGTCTTTCAGCCATGTTGAAGCCTGATGCTCCTGGCCCCGGGTGTGGGGGGTCTGCTCTGTACCCTGGGCCTAGTGTGCCCTTAGCATCCCCGGCCTGGTTCATACCTCCTTCTTGAAGCTCTCACTGACCGAGAGATGGGGTCTGCTCAGCATTCCCAGCCTTCTTCTATTGCTCGTTTCCCATTGTTCTCCCCATAGAAGGGGTTCCAGGAGGGTGACTGCCAGGCCTGTTTGTACATCCATGGGGTGAATTGGGGTGCACTTAATTGAAGAATTTGTGGGAAAGACCCAATATCAAGAGTGTCAGTTTTCAGTAGAAGATGGGCTCTACCTCGACTACCCTCTGACTGGTGCCTTTTCCTCTGCAGCATCTCCTCCGCCAAGGACGGCCGGCTGTGCAGGTCCTGCATGAGCTTGAGGTCGTGGCGACTGAATATGAACAGGATGTGGTGGTGAGTGGAGATGTGACCAGATTTGGCTGTGTCAAGCCCATCGGTGTCTACACAGTGGTAAAGGGCTGGCTGCACCTGACGTTGGCCAACGTGGGTAAGAGTCCCTGGCAGCTTTACCTGGTCTTATGCTGCCTCCTGGGTGGCCCCTCATTTTCCCAGTTGGTGCATGAGCTCCCTCAGGGCAGTGATCCTATTGTGGGCATCATATGATCAACAGGAATTCAGAAAAACTCTTACTGTTTGACTACTGAGCATCTGTCCTTGACCATATGGCATCTGTCCTTGGCCACTGAACATCTGTCCTTGACTACTCGGCCTGCCCTTGACCACTGAGCATCTGTCCTTGACCATGAGCACCTGTCCTTGACCACTGAGCATCTGTCCTTGACTACTGGACCTGTCTTTGACCACTAGGTCTGTCCTTGACCCCTGAGCCTGACTTGGCACCAGTTGTTTGGTGTTCTTGGTTTCTGATCAGGACTTGGGATCATTAGTCATCTCAGTCTTGTCCACATTTTGTTTCTTGGTGCTGTCTATGTGACATCTCTATGAAAATCCTCAGATAAAATGACTGGTTCCAGGAGAGATTTTCATCTAGATTATGAGCCTACTTATCATCATAGGACAGGAAAGCAAAATGTTTCTCAACTTCGATGCAGCTTGGGCATAAGGGAACAGAGAAACACACTTCTTTAGAGCCTATACTCTGACCATACATATAATGATGTCTGAGGGTCACTCTTCAGACGCTGAGTGCAGCCCTGTGCGCTGTTGTTCACATGCCTGGGGCAGGGTATGGGGCTGGCTGTGGCTACAGTGGAGTTGGCTGGCCATTCCGGGGGCTCCACGGAGGTCCTGATCGACAGGGGATATGGGGCCTGAGATGTCTGCCTGTGCTCCCCACTGGGTAGGGGCCTGGAGTGAGCCCCTGTGGGGCCAGGGGACAAGCCAACTCAGTCTCTCTTGAGGAGACTATGGAAGGATTGAGGTTTTTCGGGGTGAAATGGAAAGCATGACGAAACCAGCCATTTGAGGTTTCTGGAGCCATGTCTGTCTAGATGAGACTCAAACCTCTCATGGTTTATGGGGGAATTTTCCATTCCTCAAAGCCCAGGCTGGCTTTAAAGCCTGGAGCCCCATGGGCCACATGCACTCGTGCGGGCAGCTTGGAGGCGGGCAGGCTGGGGCGGCCGCAGCAGCAGGAGGCGTGCATACTCGTTAGGTTAGGCTGGAGGTTTCTGCCTGCTTGTTGACAATTGTAAGATCCGAGGAGGCCGCCTTGAAAACAGACAATATGGAAACAGCAAAACTCAATTAGGTTCTGGAGAAAAAAAGGAGCCGTATGTGAGAAGCAGACATCATTCAGAAGCTCCTATGAGTGAGGGAGCTGCAAGAAGCGTTCTGCTTCTGAGATTGCATTGGTTATTTTTATATTTATTCACAGCCCACAAATGTGCAGTGACTCCGGGCTTTAAATCTTATCTTCAGAAGAAAGATTAGCTCTATTATACGTTATCTTAAACTGTCATTTCCATACTTTGCCTGCAAGGGAGCGATAGCGCACGGGGGAGAGTCGGGAGACACCCGCCCAGAGGCGCCAATGCGGAGGGGGATTGACAAAGGACGAGCCCGAGCAGCTCACTGTCCATACAGCCATGGTCTGGTTTCCTCTGTAAATTTTGCATTTTTTGAAAAAAAAAAGGGAGGGGGGCATTGTGTCTTGTATTTCTTTTTTAAAACTGGGTGTTTAGCACCAAGCAGCAGGTGCAGGCCTGCATATTGGATGAGGCTGTGTGAGCTTCAGGGGACAGAAGCAGGGTCAGGCCAGCATCATGGGCCTGGTGTGGCCTTGCCTTGGACGGCGCTCCATGGCTCTGCACTCCCAGTGTATGCTGTCGAGTGTGAGGCTGCAGAATGAGGTGCCCTCTCTGAGCCCAGATCTCCCATGAATTTGCCATGGGAAGTGGGGGCGGGGTGCTTGTGCCTGGTGGCTTCTAGGTTCCGCGATGGTCCCTGCAGCCTTGTCTGCAGTGTCTCTGGTGCTTTTCTGTCCCCAGGATCCCGGTGTGGCTGTGGTTCATCGGGGAGCTATTGTCACTTGTATCTGCAGCCCTTCCAGGGCTCCTCAGGGGAGCAAGGGGCTGCCCTGACCCCTGGCTCCATATTCTCAGGGTTGAAGGAGAGCTGGGTGGTGTGGACAGGGAGCCTGGGTTTGGGGTCAGACGGGGTGATGTGCTCTGCTGCCACCGTGGAATGAAGGTAGCTGCACAGCTGAGTCAGGAACCCTGCTCATCTGGAGGGAGTCTCTGCTCCCACAGCAAATGTGTGGGTCCCCAGCTTAACCTCGGTGTCATGGAAGGGTAAGAAAGCCCATAGCAACTTCATATTGCAGATGGTGCCCTGAAGAAGTGAGCGCCTTCACCACATCCAGGCCCAGAGTAAGCATGTGTATGTTGCCCTGATCTAGCTTATTGTGCAGCCTTCCACACGAACCCACGCTCTGAGTGCAAATACTGTTAGAGGAAACTGTGACACTCAGGGATGACCCTTGTCTGTCTGGAGGGGACTACATGGTCCTGCTGGTCCCACATGCTGCAATGACAGCCGTGAGTCCTGAGAGCCTGGGCTCTGACAATGCCGGCCATGCACCCCGGTTGTGTGCCCTGACAGTGCACCTGTCTGTACCAGATCTGGACCTGCAGCCATTTCCCTGGTTCCTGTCCCTCCCCCTGGAGCTGTTGCCTGCTAAGGGTAGGCCGTGTGCATTTCAGCTTGACATGGTGAAGGCCTCCCTGCCTGTGCTTCAGGGAAGGCTACGGAGGGTCCCCAGGTTCCCGAAGGTGTGGCATGAATCCTCTGTCCCCAACAGTGAGTGGAGGTGGTATGTGCCCCCTGCCAGGTGACAGATGGAGCCAGTCCTCAGGGTGGGATGGAGAGCTTGCAGGCCCTGTTTGCCCTAACTGGGAAGAAGCAGCTGAGAGCCAGGAGCAGGAACTGTCTCTGAGCTCGCGGCAGGAACTGAGCGCAGCTGGGGCCAGATGGTGCTTTGTTCCCCTCTCACCTGGAAATCAGGGTGGGACCAGGGCAAGTAGTGTCAGTGCTGGGACTTGGGCCCTGGCACTAGCTGGCTGTCTCCTGCCCACTTAGCCAGGCTCTCTGTCCCTGCCCGTCCACCTACTGGCTTGTCTGTCCCCCTAGGGACCTGGGGGCTTTCTCAGGGACATCCTGGTTCCTGTTGTGATGCTCACCCAGCAGCAGCCACAGTGACCTGGCCTGGTGATGAGAGGTTCATGAATGGGTGGATGAGCAAGTATGAGAGCCTGTCTTGCCTCGAATTCTGCTCCTCTTGGACTTCAGGTGACAAAGCAGGCCCCGAGGCGTGAGCAGCTGATCCCAGTGAAGGGGTGTTAACACCAGGCTCGACTCTTGGGGACGAGCTTTATTACCTTATGATGCTGAGCTGTGTTGAGGGTAAATATCCCCTTGGGAGATGAGATGACCGTGTTTGGCAGAAGACACCGCAGCCCCTGCATCTGCAGGGGAAGAGCAGAGAAGCAGCTGTGGGTGGGTGGCAGGCAGACCCCTGTGGAGAAGTGTTCCATGCTTCTCAACAGAGCAGAGGCTGAGAACATCTGGGCTCAAGAAGCTTGTTCTCAAGACACAGGGCTAGAGGGAGGGGTGGGACTGGCCAACAGGGTGTCTGCCCGGAAGTCTGGGCCTGCAGGTCCAAGTGTATGCTGCACATATAGAGCTGATGTCCAGGTAGGGGCAGAAGAGCAGGAGACCAGGCTGGCACTGAGGTTACCCTAGGCAGAGACCCCAGGTAGGATGGTCACTGGCCACAGTGGCCAGGCAGGTGAGGAACCCACTGCAGAGGAGACAGGCCTGCCATCTGGAGTCTCATGGCGAACCTGGGCTTTGGAGCCGACTTCTCTGCCTGTGGTGGGTGGGTGTTTGGGCTCCATGCTTCCCCATGCCCGAGTATGGTGCTGTGTCAGGGAAGGCCCTCAACAGTGGTCTTCCTGACGGGGAGCGTGGATGACAGCTGATGCGCCGGCGCTTGCCAGGGCTACTGGCTGAGCTGTGAACACCATTTGGCAGGCAGAAGGGCAGATAACCAGGAGCGGCTCTTGTTGCAGGAAGGCTGGGGGAAGGCCAGCCTGATTTGAGAAGCTCAGAAAATGCTCAAGATGACCAAGGGAGTTTGAAAATGATGAGGATGGAAGTCCCTAGGGGAGGACTCTGCTCACCTGTTTGTGGCCAGGCTTTAAACCATGCAAAGTAAATCACTTCTTGGTTTGGCCAGAGGTGGTGTCAGTCTCTCATTTTTGAATCCAGCATTTTCCCCAATGCCGAGGGACGGTCAGCTGTCACACCCATGTCTTGGGGGTCTCCAGCTGCCATTCCCTGGGGTCTGCAGGGGCGGCCCCCATTGGCATCAGGGCAGAGACCTCCCTGGCAGGATAGGCATTCCCTTCCCCAGCTCAGCTCAGAACCAGTCAGGAGGAAGACATTTCTGCTAGGCAGCTGGACATGAAAAGGTCACATTGGTCACCACTGCTGAGGACCAGCCCACAGCTGTGATGGGGGGCTTGCTCCTGCACCCAGACTGTCCCACAGGACAGAGGCAGAGGCGGATGAAGCTGAGCAGGGCAGAGTGGAGGCGGGGTGGGAGGAGATGCAGAGAGGCGGGAGACAAGCACCCAGGGGAAGGGGTACCTGTTCTAATAGCTCCCAGAAAGATCACCACCATCCTGCTGGAATCATGGAAGCCCACAGCATGAGCATTTGTGTTTGGAACTTGGGTTCATTTTGGAATCTGACTTCAGCTGCACTCTTGGGAGTCATGTCCACACAGAGAGGTCACGGGTCCCGAGGGTATGATTCTGTCCTCCCAGGAGAAGCATTTCTTCAGGCAAAGTTCTTTTCCCCTGAGCCTTGCACATGTTGGCTGGTTAGTGGGACACTGCTTCCCGTTCAGCCGGGGCAGGTGTGCTGTGTGCTCTGCCTCTGGACTTGCACTCAGCCCTCTAGGCTGCATGCTTCTCTCCAAGGCTTCTGTGTGAAAACAGCTCCTGAAGATTCTAGCTTGCAGAGGCTCTTTTACCTTCAAGTGTGTTTAAAGTCAGACATTTGCGGACATGCCCAAGGGCCTTCCACGAGCAGGGTGACATTGGAAAGGCTGGCGTGGGAATGTGTGAGCCGTCCCACGTCGCAGGGCTGCTAGGCCGCTCAGGAAGTGAGTGTGTGTGAGAAAGTGTCCTGAGTACCTGCAGCCTTAACCCCCGTGGGAAAGCAGACACCACTGCCCATGTACGAGAGGACCCGCCTGCCCGTCACCTCTCAACTGCCAAGCAGACTCAGAACCAGAGTGCAGTTTTGGAGTGTTAGCAGGCCAGGGGGTATGGACAGGCCCTTTGAAACCCAGAACTCCCTCCAGGGGACATGGATGTGTCCCATCACACTTCTTTTTGGTGTTAATACCTTATACTGGGATGTTTTTAATTTAGGTCATGTGTGTGAGCAGAGAGTGAGAGATTCCAGCTCATTGCCACCTTCCAGGTCACGGGTCATTTCGAATGATGGAGCCAGACACTTCGAGGGAGGCAGTCTCATCTCGCGCGGGGGTCCGAGATGTGAGTGGGGAGCGGGTTGGGATAGGTGGGTCATGTGTAGCTGTGATTGACATGGGGGTGGGGTAGAGTAAGAGGTGGAAGGCTGCGTGTGTGTCTGTGTGCATGCAGGTACACGTGTGATCTGGGGGCAGGAGTGGGGGCTGTTGTGTCCAGCTCAGCGCCCTGCCTCAGTGGCCCCTTGGGCTGGGTGGGTTAAGCATGTGCGTCACACCTGGGACACTCCAGAGCGGGCTCTGTGGAAGCTGTCTGGGCTGTTTCACAGGCTGACAATAATCCTACTAGGGGATCGGTTTTTGGTTAGCTGCCCATCTGCAGGGGAGCAAATAATGAAGAAAAGGTTAGGATGAACAAACACTGGTTTTTAAAAACCGATTTGAAGTCCCTATGTTGGGGTGAGGAGGAGTAAACCAGTCATGGAGCCTGAGAGATATAGGCCTGGGCTTGGAGAATGTTCACAGCAGGGGGCATCCAAAGATTTACATCCCATTAAATGACCCAAAGTAGTTGTAGGTAGGATGCAAAGTGGGGTGTGCCCTTTGGGTCTTTTGGGTAGTGTCACCATGTTGCAGGCCATCTCATGTGGATCTGCAGCTACCTCGAACTTCCTGTGTTGATGGTCCTCGGATACTGTTGTCCTTGAACCTGTGCCCAGGGAGGGAGGCCCCTGGATGTGGCTGGTGAGAGCCGTGAGGCCTCCAGGACCCCATGAGAGTTCTCTGAAACTCAGCCCAGACTTTGTGGGTGCTCAAATGTTCTTCTGGGAGATGGCCCTGGAGGCTCAGATGCTCAGATGGGCCTAAGGTCCATGATCCCGGCAGGCTGAGAGTCTGTTCTCCTGTTTAGTGTTAAGGAAACCAAGGCAGAGACGGTCAGGTGACTTGCCTAATTGTGTGGCAGAGGGAGGTGAACTTGGGTGAGAATCTGGATTTCCCACTTTGGGGCCAGGGCCCATCCATCCCTGGCTGTCCCAAGAACAGGCAGGGAGTATTTGTGAAAGCCACGGCCTCAGGGCCCAGCAGGTCAGGGGCTCTGCCCGAAATGCAGGGTGCTGTAACCTGTGAGGGTTTGTTGAGAGAATTGAGTCTCTGGAGTCATTGGTTCCTCTCTTCCTGTTTGGTCAAAGACAGAGGCTGGGGTGCTCCATCAGAGAGCCTGTCTTCCCCCACAGGGCAGGCTTGGCAAGTAGGAAGTTGTACAGAGTTTTAGAATATGCTTCCAGGCTCTGAGCAGTGTGGAGATTTCATTTCTGATTTTGTTGGAGCAGAGTGATGCAGTCTGACGTGTGAGCTCATTGGCTTACCCCTAGCCTTGCTTGTCTCCTGCCCTGGCCCCTTCCCCCAGGCCTCTCAAACCCAGCCTAGGTGGGGTTGCCCACCCAGCATGCTTGCACCTGAGATGTGAAAACAGTCTTTTTGGGGTGGCATTTTACTTGTCTAAACTGACTCATGGCATCTGAAAAGCAGTTGAACAGCTTTAAAATGGTGGTGAGGAACATGGAAATAGCACTTGTTGTTCCATGTGACAGAGGACGAGGTGGGCGAGCCCGGGGGAAGGACTGCTTTACCACCACATGGAGCCTTCAGTAGGAGGCTGGAGATGCGGTGACCATGTGCAACCCCTTGGCAGATTCAGAACGGCAACCCATTTCCTGTAGGCACTGCTGGTACCTCAGGGTCAGGAAGGGCCAGTGCTAAGTTGGGGTGCACCTTCTGCCTGCCTGCACTGGCTTGAGTGGTGGTCTGTGAATCTCGTGTGTCAGCTTGTGACATGGCCATGTGCCGTGTGTGGTTTCATCACCTGAAGAAAATGCAGCTCCTCTGCCTGCTGGTGTCTGGCCTGCTTCAGCTTCTGTTTGCCCACATGGCTTTTGTGTGTGTCCAGGATTTGAGCATAGTCTCCCAGAGGAGTCAGTGCCCGGGGGCCAGGCTGTCTAGAGGCAGCTGGTGGCAGAGTCAGGGGCATGAGCTTGGGAGCCAGGCCTAGTCTGGACCCCACCCCCCTGAGCCGCTCAGGGGGCTTCAGGCCAAGTGAGCAGCTCATCAGAGCCCCTGACTCCTGACCTGAGCACACGAGTGCGTCTGAGGACCTGGTGGGGCCGTGGGCCTGATTGCTCAGTGGTGCCTGTGTCAGGAGGCTCTTGCTGGTGGGGGCTTTTGTGAGCACGGTCGGTGGTCCTGGGTGAGGGTGACAGGGCTAGTGGTCCTGGGTCAGGGTGGCAAGGCCCTTGGGAATCCAGAAAGCACCAGCTTCTAGAACACTGACTTTTTTTTCCTCTGGAAAGTTATCCAATGGTGTATGAATTTGTCTCTAAGGATCAGAATCCTTTTATTTGAAAGGCTGGTAAAGGGGGGGACACTGTATAGACCAGGTTATAGGATTACCATCTTTATCAACATCTTAGAAGGTGCAGGAAAGGGCAGGCTGCCTGCTGAGCTCCCTCCCTGGGTGAGGTGGCTGGAAGCTTGTTGCCAGGTCTGTTTAAAGAATATAGACTCTGCCTTAACCTCTTGTTCTCTCTTTGAACCTTCTAGCAGTAAAAAATGTTGTCCAAGCACAGAAGCTGGCTGATGTGGACCGTGAGCTGGCTGCCATGCTGTTCACCCACATGCAACATGGGAGCAAGGGGCCCCAAGGTGCTTGCCGTGAGGGGGATGCCGTCCGCAGGCGCAAGCTGGAGCGGATGAGGTCCGTGCGCCTTCAAGAGTCCAGAGGAGAGCTCAGCTGCTGGGGGGCCAGCATGTTGGTGAGGGCTCCATCCGCCTCCCCCCTGCCCCCGGGTGTCCCCGTGCAGAGCCACAGTCATTGTGAATGAAAGCAGCCTGTCCTCTCTCTTCTCCTCCCCTGTGGCTCGCTCTCTCTCTCCCAAATCCTACTTGTGGAATGTATGGGAAACGGACCCTCTCAGCCACCAAGGGAGGTTTTCCTTTTTTTTTTTTTTTTAAAGACTATGTATTCATGAGACAGAGAGAGAGAGAGAGAGAGGGAGAGAGAGGCAGAGACATAGGCAGAGAGAGAAGCAGGCTCCATGCAGGGAGCCTAATGTGGGAATTGATCCTGGGACTCCAGGATTACACCCTGAGCTGAAGGCAGGTGCTCAACCACTGAGCCACCCACGCATCCCCCAAGCAACGTTTTCAAGTCTGGAGAGTTTTTACAAAAGCCGATTCTTGGCTCTACCCCAGGGAATTCTGTGTCCAGTTTGCTGCACCTGGGTCTTTACCTGGGCTATTAAGAAAGCTCAGCAGGGGATTCTGAGGGTCCCCCAGGTTTGGGGTCAGTGCTGTGAATGCCTTCCGTATCATGAATTATCAGTGCAAATCAAGTAACCATTCTGACTGGAAAAATTCCCATTTTTGGCTAAAAAACTAAAGAAGACCCTACCATATTTACAGCTTAGATGTGGGAGGAGAGGGTGGTTGTACCTGATGGGTTCATGGAATCAAGAAGCCACACGGGTGAGGATCACACTTTACATTAGAGCAGGCAGATATCTGAATAGAGGCAAAACCTGCTCGGCCCTTCGTGCTCACAGCAGCTGGGGAGGCTCCCTGCTGTCAGGTGCTCCTCAAAGAGAGCCAGGCAGCTGCTGAGGGTGAGGCCCCTGGGGCTAGTGGCCCCAGAGACCCCTAGGCAATGCTGGCCCCCCACCCCCACCCCCGGGCTCCCCAGCAGCCCCGCCTTGGAGGGTGGTGGGCCCAGCACCCTGCCAGTCCTTGATGAGTTTGGTGCTGGTGTCCTGACGATTCTTACTTTGGTGGGCTTCCTCCTGTTGATGGGTCCTGGTAGAGATTCTGCAGCTCGCAGCCCTCATTCTGATGACAGCAGTGAATTGGGAAGTAATTGGATTTCTAAATACAAGGAAAAGTTCCACTAAATTCTCATGATATTCTGGGTCAGCGGCCTGGAGAATTTAAGGTGAAAGTGACTCGTTTTTATGGAGGAGATGGTGGTTTCTCCGCACCTAGAGCTCTCTCAGCCTTCAGGAGAGTTTGGGAATTTACGTGGTCAGTTGGCCCTCCGGGAGCTGGAAGTGGTGCTCAGCCTCTGGCCGGTCCTTGGCCCCTGACATGCTGGTGCAGTCTGGTGGTCTCGGGCCCTGGGGGCTGCTCATCAGAAGACAGAGAAGAGCGCTGTGCATGGCTCACTCCCCCAGCAGTAGGGAACAGCTCGAGGGGTGGTGATGATCTGGGGGCTTCTCGGGGAAGTGGTGGAGCAGAGTCGGGCTCAACATATGCTTGCGGCAGTCCCAGTGTCCTCATGAGGGTGGCTAGGCTTTCTGTGTCTGGTGCTCGGGATGGTGGCAGGTCCCACCTTCTGCTGTGGTCAGCGTCAGCCCCTATGCCAGCAGAGCCTCAGCCATAGGGAGACTGTGTGTTGGGCACCCTCTCTGTGGACCCTGCCCCCCACGCCCAGCTTTGGGAGAGGGCTGGTAGGACATCTCCCTGTCCGGCGGGGAGGGGGTCCTCTGAGGTTGCAGGGACAAAGCCCCATGCACTCAGGTCTGTACAGCCACAGGGTCCCCAGGGCCTGGGCCTGGGCTCTGGACCAGCCATTCCATGTTGGAGCAGGTGCCCTAGCACTCCGAGCCTGATACTGAGCAGGCAGGGCTGGGGCCCTGCTTCAGGCCCCTGGGGTCATCCCCCTACCTCTGCCACTTGCCCACTTCCTGCAGCCCCCAGGTTGTCTCTTTTAGTAGCACTAACCCCACTTCACGTCATTCCATGCCAGGTGCCACAGAAGACAGAGCTTTATTTCCAGAAATCCCAGCAAAAGGCTCACCAGTCTCACTGCTCTGGTCACTGGGCTCTGCTGCCTGTTGGGACCTGAGGATTCCAATAACTGTCTCACCCTTTGCCTGCCTGCCTTTTGAATTGATTGAGAAATTAGGAGCATGGCAGAGAGACCCAAGTGTCACCTCAGTCACTGATGACTCTAGTGATGGGTAAAGCAGATCGTGGAGACTTGGCTCCTATCTGTCGAGGTGCTTGTCACACTGAGTCTAGAGCAAATGCCAGACCCAAGCTGCCTGGGTGACACCATATGGCTGTGGGCCGCCTCCACAGGCAGGATCCTTCCCAATAACCCCACCACTGGTGAGGAGCAGTGCAAACACCCGGTGTTCCAGGCAGGTGGATCCCAAAAGGAAGGGTTGAGAGAGGGGAGGGCTATGTCTGGCTGGTTCATATCGGAGAAGTCACCCCATGTCCTGTGGGGTGCCAGGCTTCCCGACAGCCTCCTCTGTGGTGTGGCAGGACACAGGACAGGCAAGGAGTCTCCCCCTCACAACCCCCAGGATCATGTTGACTCTCCCTGAGGCTTTTCACCACCTGGTCCATGGTAAACTGGGAGTGACCCGCACTCCATCAAGAAGCTCTAATCATCTCTGTCTGTGTGGGGAGGCCTCAAATATAAGCACAAATACCATCCCGTTTTCAAATCCCCAGGGAGAAATTAAAGACTTGGCCTCAACTCTCTTGATAGGGGAAGGCCAAAGTTTTGGATGTTGGAAGTCAATATCCAAAGTGATTTAAGTCAGAAACCATATTGGATCCTTACTTCTTGAGTTGAAGTCCAGAGACATTCAGGCGTCCTCTGCCTGCTGATGTCTGGGCCTCCTCAGGGTTCAGAGGGTCTTAGCATGGGGCCTGGCTCATTCCCCGGCATGGGGCATCCCCTCCTAGGTCCTAGATCAGGGCAGCCTCCAAGGACCTCACCTTTCAGTGTAAGTCACACAGGAAACCTAAGCCAGTCTCCAGCCTCTAGAACACTTTGTGTTGGCCAAGCCCAGTGAATCAGGGCATGGAGGAAGGAGGTGGATGAAGGACCGCAGGCTGAGCTGTGGCTGAGCCCCCTAAGGCAGCGTGCCAGCTGTCTGGACCGTGGCCTGGCTCAGGTTACACAGGCGCCTGCTCACAGACAGGGCTCCCGGCGCCACACTGGGGACCTGGCCAATGAGCACATAACAAGTCTTAGTAGCTTTGAGGTAATTTTCCCCCCTTTTGTTAGAAACCTTTGCTTCTAATTCCCCATCATGCCGATGCCAGCCATGAGGCCATGGGAAGAGGTGGCCTCATGGGTGGTTGTAGTCTCTTGGGAGCCTGCAGGGCAGATGCCGCCTTCTACAGGGGAGACCACTGCAGGGCTGATTGGAGCCAGGAGTGCCGTGTAGACCCGTTTACTGTCCTCTGGACCTGAGGATGGGCCAGTCCCATCCAGCCCGGGTGTCTGGGGAAGGAGGAGGTGGTGATTCCAGAAGAAATTTGGTATTCAGCGTGGGAGTGGGGGAGGTGGCCAAACAGCCCTCGAGAAGGAGAGCCAGCCCCAGGATGGTGGCCTGGTTTGGCATTTGTGTCCCACAGATTCAGCAGAATATCCGCGCACAGCACGCACGCGACCTGCAGGTCATTGCTGCCTATCGGGAGCGTACGAAGGCAGAGAGCATCACCAGTGCACTGAGCCTGGCCATCACCACGATGCACACAATCCACGTCACACTGGGCACTGCCGAGTTCTTCGAGTTTGCCCTTAGGAACCCCCACAACACACAGCACACAGTGACCATTGAGGTGGACAATCCTGAGCTCAGGTAGGCTTGAGTGGCAGCCCTGCCAGGGTCCCTGGGGGTGTCTACAGGTTCTCCCTGAAAGCCGGGCTGCTCTCATCCCTCAAGGGGTCCCACTGGTCCTGGCTTTCGCCCCTGGTCCTAGGTGCCAGCTCTGAGTGGGCGGGCAGAGGACTCACTGAGAGTGCTGTGTCTCCCCTGCCATCTAGCATCATCCAGGACAGTCAGGAGTGGAGATACTTCAAAGACGCGGCCAAGCTGCACACGCCGGTGGAGGAGGACATGTTCCATCTGAGGGGCAGCCTTGCCCCGCAGATCTTCCTGCGCCCACGAGAGACCGCCCACATCCCCTTCAAATACCAGACCTTCTCTGTAGGGCAACTGGCCCTGGCACAGGTGGGGAGGCCATTCTTCCAATGTCAGATGGACTTGTCAGGCACGTGGGCAAATCCCACTTGGCTAAATAATAGTGGGGCATTTCCATGTGTCCCCCTGTGCTGCTCAGACCCGTTAGCCTTCAGGAGGTCACCTGCTCTCCCAGCCCCTATGCATTGGGCTTCAGGAAAGGCTGGACTGTCCCCTCTGAGTGCTCTGGGTATAGGACCTCTCCCTTACCTTAGAAGAGATGATGGGTTGAAACTTTGCTGCATTTTGTGTTCACTAGTTAATGCTGTGTGCCCACGTCTTCTGTAGCATTTGCTCCTCTGCTGGAAATGCAGGAGTGGAGGTTTCCAGTGATGGGTGTGAGTGGTACATGCCCGTGTGACTGGTGGGATGGGTGGGTAAGGGTGCAGGGCATGCATTTCATCCTGAGCTTTTGGGGTCAGTTCTGTAGGATGGTCGTCACTTAAATGGGCTTGAGGAGCTCTCAGAGACACACAGAATCCTGAACAGGCTCTTTAGATGCACTTTTGGAATAAGAGATCGTAAAGACAGTGAAGACGTCAGGTCTTTGACTTCAGGCAGAACCAGTTACATGTCCGGTGAGCCTTCATAGTTCATGGCCACCCCTGTTCCCTCTTTGGGGCAGTGAGTCTGGTTCATGACAGTGGTCACCCAGACAGCCACCCAGTGAGAACCCATGAGACAGCGCACAGGAGCCCTCTGCCCTGGTGGCAGCTGTTCCTACAAAGAGAAGTCCTGCAGGTAGTGGCCATCACCCTCGGACTCCCATCTCATGACCAATTGGTTTCTCACAGCCCTCTGCTGAGCTCAGATCTGAGAAGGACACGGATACCGGATTGCCCCAGAAATCCAGTGCAATGCCCACTAAGCATGCTAAGGTAAGGGGTAGGAGATCTCTGATCCCAGACATTCCTGGGGTTTTGCCTGAGAGCCAGGTGTCCTCTGAGCAGACCCGGTGAAGCATTCCTGCCTTCTGTTGTTCCTCAGGCCCCTAGGACCTGACCCTCTGTCCTTTATTGCACCTCCTACCAGGGTAAGGTGGACTTTTCATGTCCTGATAGGGCAGTGACTGCTTCAGGCGATGCTGTTATGGCCTCTGGGTGGGTGTCTGGCATGGAAGCCTCTCCCCAGCCACTGGCCACCTTGTAGCCTTTGGTGGTCTGTGTGCCTGCCCCATGGCCCTGGGAGGACAGCTGTCCCAGCACGTGGCCACCACACACGGGGCTAGACTAGCCCTCTGACCCTCGTCCACCACATCCCACATCCCATAGCACCAGGGGGAGTGGCGTGCAGTTACTTCTGGAAACCTTCATTACCTCCTGGGAGGGAGGGCGTGTTTGCACACACACCTGCAGCCTGCCTTTAGGATATCCTGAGGGAGAGCTTAGGACACTTGTTTTTAGGAATTTCTGAAGCTCTTTTTTAGGTAGACAAATGCCTTTGTGAAGTAGTTTGAAAGTAAAAACAAAAGCAACAAGACTTTGCCTTGTCCCTGCCCCCCGAGAATGGGTTTTATTAGTGGGTCCTAGATAAGAAATGGCTCCCAATTGCAGGCCTGTGTTCCCACATCACCGTGGTGTCAGCTTGTGCCCACAGCCCCATCTCTAGTGGAACCTGCTGTATTTCACTTATTGTAGAGGCACAGCTTTGCCTTGGTCAAGGAATAGGTCCGCTCTCTATGTAGGGCTATCAGTGGAATCTGAGAGCCTGGTACATTTGCCATATATGGATCTGGAGTCTGAAGGCAAACCCCAGAGAGTTCATGAGTTCACCCATAATGACCCCGGGATGTGTCCCTGGCTGATGAGGACTTTCAGCCTAGTACATGCCACTGTCCCTGCCCTGGTCAGCAGCAGGCCTTCTGAATCTCCTGGTGTCCCCACTGCTCACTTCTCATGTTTGGTGTGTGTGAGTTGGGGTCCACTGACCCTGGCGCCCCGTGTCTGTGGTCCACCTCGGGTTCATTGCCTGTGCTCATTTTCACCCTGGGAAATGGGGACATTCAACTATTTTCATTCTTTCTGTACTTGTTAACTGTGATTTGGCAATGAACGAGAATTTCCCCACCAGCAGTTTGGTTGCCCTGAAATATACGTTATATCAGAAAGTCAGGATAGATGTTGGATTCTTTTTTTTTTTTTTTAAGATTTTATTTATTCATGAGAGACACAGAGAGAGGCAGAGACATAGGCAGAGGGAGAAGCAGGATCCTTTCAGGGAGCCCAATGTGGAACTTGATCCTGGGACTGGGATCACGACCTGAGCGAAAGGCAGATGCTCAACCACGGAGCCACCCAGGCATCACAATGTTGGATTCTTTGATTTTATTTATCAGTTTTCAAGATAGACTATATAGACTATACCCTAGCAACCTCCAGAGGATGTCATGTTTTTGGAGTCTCATTATGAACACGTGGTTTCATGTTTGCTGCTTCTCCTGTGACAGGCATTGGACGCTAGACCTGCCCGCTCTCTGACACTGATACCTAGGTTAACTGCTAACGTGCTAACCAGGTCACTGGAAGGGTAAAACCAGCACTCCCAAGCTTTTAAGGTGGTGGAAATGTCAGGAAGTGGCTGTCTGCCCCTTCTTGTGCTAGAGGACTTGGTTGAGCCCAAGACTCCATCTCAAGGAGGGTGTCACCTGTCGGTGCTGGGTCTGCAGTGTGGGAAATAGGCCCCTGGACCCAAGCCCACTGTGGGAGGGACTGCTGGACCGGGGCGGGTCACTGGGTGAGGCTGACCAGAGAGTCCCTGTCCTCCCAAGCCTGGCTCTTCCCTGCACTTCCAGGAGTGGCCAGGGGGAGCAGACATGTGGACTGAGGGGGTGCCCAGCCGTGAGAGCAGGTGGGTGGGGTGGGGCAGAAGCCTGGTCTGCAGTGGGCACAGCAGCTGAACACACACGTGCTCCTGTTAGACCCGAAGTCTCAGAGTAGTGGTGCAAATGTGGCCAGTGTCAAGGCACAGATGATGGGGTGGTGGGTGTGTTTGTGGGAGCTTCTCTCCCAGCCAAGGGAGCACATGTGATGGGGGAAGACCTTTCAGGTGAAGTGTGACATTGCGTGAAATCCAAAGGTGGGAAGACTGCCAAGAAAAGATGGGACCAGGCCCACAGAATCTGGAAGGGTGGCTTCCTTGGTGGGGGCTGGTGGGGCACCCAGAGCTCAACAGTGTGGATGGTGGGTTCATCCCAAGTGGGGATTTGGGCTCCTGCTGGCTGTCCTGTTATGATTTATGACTTAAACATGCTCTTACACATAGAGCTTTTTACATATGTCTATCTGAAAGATTTCACAATAAAACGTACCAGAGCAGAAGAACGTCTTTCCCGTGTGGAAGGTTTGAGGACCGGGTTCTGTTGCTGTGGGAAGGTTGCCTTGGGTGTCAGGCTGCATGTCTGGCCTCATGCAGGGCCTGGAGGGCTCAGGGCCAGATGGAGATACCCATTCTTTCCCTTTCTCTCTTTCTTTTTTCTTTTAAAAGGATTTTTTTATTTTTGAGAGAGAGAGAGAGAGAGAGAAAGGGGCGGAGGAGAGAGAGAGCATGCATGTGCATGCACTTGGGAGGGCTGCAGGGACAGAGAGAATCTCAAGCAGACTCCTTGCTGAGTGCAGAGCCCGCCGTGGGGCTCCATCTCATGACCCTGAGCTGAAACCAAGAGTTGGATGCTTAACTGACTGAGCCACTCAGGTGTCCCAGTAACTTTTTTTTTTTAGAAAGGAAGTTTGTATCTCTAGCCTTTCTTGTTTAGGTTCAGAATTAAAGAGCTTGTGCTCCACTACCACCCATGAGGACTTGGAGAGGTTAACGTCAGACCCTCTGGGCAGCTTCCCAGCTTGCACATGGCAGGCATGTTGGGAGATGGGTCGGTGGCTGAAGGAGTATTTGACATTGGGGCTGTCAATTTGAGGGCTGACACATTTGAGGCATGTGTGTCACGGGAACATGTCCACATGCAGTCCCTGTGCTGGGTGCCATCCCCTCTGTGAGGACCTGCTGCTGCAGATTCAGCCCGCCGTTTCTGACAACACCTGTGCTTCCCACCTCACGGTGGGGTGGGGGGGGGGGACTGGGCCCTGTGGATGCTGGCCTGCTGCAGGCAGCTCTTCATGAGTCCACGTGCCAGCCCTGATGCTGGCAACCTCTGCTCTCCTGGCAGGTCTTGTTCCGGGGTAGTGGCGGTAAGCCCATCGCCGTGCTTTGCCTAACCGTGGAGACCCAGCCCCATGTGGTGGACCAGGTTTTCCGCTTCTACCACCCAGAGCTCACCTTCCTGAAGAAGGCCATCCGCCTGCCTCCCTGGCACACGCTTCCAGGCAGGTCCCATCTGTCCCTGTGGCTGGCATTTTGCAGGTTCCACAGATGGCTAAAGGTTTTTCCCTCATGGTGACAAGTGGCATCATCACATTCTCCTGTGATGCTCTTATTCCAACCTGTGACCCATCTGTAAAGTCTGCCACCCGCCCTTATGGTTTGAAATGGCGACCTTTTCGCGTCCTCTGAGATGCGAGGGTATGCCCTTGGCTGGCTAATCCCACTTCCTAAAGCCCACGGCCCCGAGGGCTGTGCCTGGAGTGCGCTCGCGCCTTCTGCTGCCGCATCACTTGTCTGCTTCTGGTCTGGTGCTTTAGAGTGCAGCAGCGTCCCCGTGTCTGGCACCCTGCATCATAGCCGCCCCCCCCTCTTTACTTTTGGTCACTCTCTTCGGATAAGTGCCTGCGGGTGTGGCTTAGGGCAGGAGTGCCAGTGCCCACGTGGGCGGGACAGTAGGAAGGGTGGCATTGCTGTCTTCTGGTGTCTGTGGGGTACCTGTGATGGGTCTTCTGGTGTCTGTGGGGTACCTGTGATGGGCCAGGCCTGCCCCCGACAGCAACATCACGTGGCCCGGGCCTGTCCAGAAGACGTTTGCTATGATATTCCCTGCAGCAGGTGCTCCTGTGGGAAGACCTGGTGAGGAGCCCCCAGTCCATGTCCGATGTAGCGACCCCAACGTCATCTGCGAGACCCAGAATGTGGTAAGTTCTGCCGAGCGTCTCCCAGCCAGTGCCTGGTCATCTGAGCCCCTGGCCTCCTGAGGCCTCTTCACTGCAGCTTTTGAGTTAAGTGATGTCTTTCTAAGGTGCTAAGGGGCTATTTTGACATCCTTGTGGGAGCTTTATGCATGAGTTTTCATCTTTTCTGCTGGCAGATCAGTTCTTGGATTACCTGAATTCAAATGAAAAAAAAAAAAAAGGCATGAAGCAAAGTGAATAAAGTGAGTGGTAATTAAGCCACTTATTAATTGCCATTGTGTAAAGAATAAAGGCAATAATTATGTTATGACTGGTTAGGAAACTGGATAAAATCTCCTGCAGAATATAATTATTGAACTCAATATGAAATCAAGAAGTTAATGATTTTCTTTTTTGCAGTGAAGGAAAAAACGAATTCTGCCTAATACTGAAAATGCAACACCTGTTGGGAGGGAGGGAGCTGGTTCCTGCCCGCTTTCACCTGCCAGGGGCTTGGGGGGGAGGCAGGTGGTGTTCTCAGGGCGTCCATGTCCACCAGGGCCCCAGGGAGCCTCGGGACGTGTTCCTGAAGGTGGCCAGCGGTCCAAGCCCAGAGAGCAGAGACTTCTTTGTCGCCGTTTACGCGTGAGTCCGTGAGCCCAAACCCGGGAGGTCTGGAGGGTGGGCGGGACTGGGAGGCAGCCACAGTATCCCAGGGGCCGCCCGGGCTCATGCTGAGTTCCTGATGGGGCACATCGTGGTGGGGCCTTCAGCCACGGGAGGTGAGACTCCACGGCTGGCAGGGGCCTCACAAAGGACGCCATCGGATCAGAGTGGCCCGGCGGCTGGCAGAGGCATGGAGAGCCCACCAAGGAAAGGAACTTGGGGTGGCGTCTGCCCCAGAGCAGTGCCTGGCTCCGTCCAGGGGACAGGGAGGGTGGCAGTCTTCATCCTCCGTGCCTGAGATGGTGATCACATCGCCTTCTTGCTTCTCCCACTCAGTTGAAATAACCCTGTTCCTTTACCTTGTTCTGGGAAGTCTCCTCTTCCAGTCCCTTGAGGATCTTCTTTTTTTTTTTTTAAAGATTTTATTTATTTATTCATGAGAGATACACAGAGGGACAGAGACATAGGCAGAGGGAGAAGCAGGCTCCCTGCAGGGAGACTGATGCGGAACTTGATCCCAGGACCCTGGGATCACTCCCTGAGCCAAAGGCACACGCTCAACTGCTGAGCCACCCAGGTGTCCCCCTTGAGGATCTTTTAAAACTGGGGTAGGCTGGGGGCTTCTGAATAGGACATCTGGGATTGGGGCAGGTGTAGCCATGCTCGGTTCTGGTCTCTGGCCGTGTGGAGAAGCCCGAGGGGCAGGGTTATCGAGCCCCATTTCCAGGGAAGGGCCAGTGGCCTCCAGCACCAGGCAGCTAGGGGCCTGTGAGCTCAGGTCTGGGTGGCCTCTGAACCCACATACTCTTCCACGGCACGCTTTCCACAGGCTTTGTCCCAGACCACCTGGTTTGGGACTGTTTTGTTGCTGGTAGAAGCCCACATTACCACTCACACACGGTGTTGTGGTGCAAAGTCACAGTGGGCCTTCTGAGTGGGGAAGGTGGCTGCAGGGATGATGGTAGCTGGGCTCCAGCCTGCCCCAGTTGTCCTGGCCACCTTCTTGACCTCTTCCTGGTCAGTGCTGCTGTCCTCACCACCATTGATCACGGTTTCTGTCCTACACAGGGATCGTTGGCTGGCGACACCCGTCCAAATATGGCAGGTCTACCTCCACTCCTTGCAGCGTGTGGACGTCTCCTGCGTCACAGGCCAGCGGACACGCCTATCCCTTGTCCTTCGAGGGACACAGACGGTTAGGAGAGTGCAGGCTTTCACCTCACACCCTCAGGAGCTGAAGGTAGGTCGCTGGGTGTTCTCTGGCCTCTCCCCATCCTCACCCCACCTGGGGCACGGACGATGTGGAGACTGGCTGCAGCCAGTGTGGGGCTGAGAATCGGCTCACAACTCCTTTAGGACTCTTGGCAGAGTCTTCATTCAAACTGCCTTTTGTTGGATCTGCCATCATGGAATGAGTGACATATAAACCCTATAGGCCAACTTTTAGAATTATTGGAAGGTAAATATTAATAGAATTTTGGAATTAATTTAGCCACAACTATGCGTCTGGGTAATGAGGGCAATGCAGACTCCTTGCTGAAGCTTACAGCTGGAGCCTGTTAAGATCTCCCTCTGCTGAGGCAGCTCTGGTGCTAAGGGGACTGTTGCCACATGGAGGGGCACTTGCCCGTGCGGGTGGTGATGCGGACTGAGATGCACTGCAACCCTGACTGTGTGGCTGCATCTGGCTTCAGACCTGGCATCGTCACTCGGTCCCCTTCTGACTTCCTGCAGGCCACGTGCCCCCTGCCTCTGAATAGCTGGGGTCCCTTGGGATTCTCGTGCACTGGCCGCAGGTGTTCAGGGAACCCCTCTGCACAGCATGAGGGACTGCATCCTGACCCGCCTCTCTGCTGTTGTTCTGAAAGACTGACCCCAAAGGTATGTTCGTGCTGCCACCACATGGGGTGCAGGACCTGCATGTCGGTGTGAGGCCCCGCAGGGCAGGGAGCCGGTTCATCCACCTCAACCTGGTCGACGTGGACTACCACCAGCTGGTGGCCTCATGGCTCGTGTGCCTCTCCTGCCGCCCGCCTCTCATCTCCAAGGTCTGGAGGGGAACCTGCTGGGTCGTGTGTGGTATGGGTGTTGTGTCACCTCACTGTCTCCTGGTCCCGTGACCGAGTCTCCTCCGCAGTCTAAGGCCTGGGGGTGGGGGCGGGGGTTGCTCCTGTACAGTGAGCCCCCTCGGCGGGTGTCTTGTCATGTCTATGGAGACATAGGTTGGGCTCTACGTGCAGAGCAGGCTGAGGAAGGCTGACACCCCTGCCCACACAGGCTTTCGAGATCACACTGGCTGCAGGGAAAGGCAGAGGCGCCAACAAGCGGATCACCTACACCAACCCTTACCCCTCCCAGAGGACCTATCACCTGTACAGCGACCACCCTGACCTGCTGCAGTTCAGAGAGGACTCCTTCCAGGTGCGGGAAGTGCTGTTTACAGGGTGTGCACACTGCATGCGGGGCACCCAGCCTCGGCATATCCCAGGGGCCCCGAGGCACAGGGGTCTCCAGAGCCCCGGGAGGGGGCAGTGCTGATCTGCACCGGGTGTACTGGGAGTAGGGGCGGCCACCCCTCTCTCAGCAGTTCTGCCCATGCGGCTAGGGCCCCCACATCTGGGCACTGTCACAGGGCTTCTGGTGACCAATTTACCCTGCAGTTTATCAGCGATTTTATTCGCAAGTGTCCTGCAAGTTAGCCTTTTCTCTGTTGCAAGTATTTTAACGACAGTACAGCAGATGGCAGTCTGTCTGTCATTGGAAGGTGTTTCTTCAGCTGTGAATCTCCCCTGGGGCGTGGGCAGAGCAGCGGGGAGGTTGTGTTCAGAACCCCAGGTGCCTGGCAGCAATGGGGGCCAGAGCCTCGGTTTACCCTGCTCTGTCAGCCTGGGTTTGCATGTGTAGACCGTGCTGGCATGGAGAGCAGGGCTGCAGTAGGGCTAGGATCTGATGCTTGCTTCCAGGTTGGGGGAGGAGAGACCTACACCATTGGCCTGTGGTTCGCACCTCGGCAGAGCCCCGGGGAGGAGGAGATTCTGATTTACATCAATGACCACGAAGACAAAAATGAAGAAGCGTTCTGCGTCAAGGTCGTGTACCAGTAAAGGAGCAGCCGGAGGTGCTGTTGGGGCTTCCTGTCCTGGGGGCTCTGTAGCCTTTTGTCCCCTCGATGACCTGCTGGGGCTGCTGGTGAGCATGGCCGAGGGTGGTGTGCGCGCCGTGCCCCTGCCCAGTCCTCCTGCCCAAGTAAGCGCTGCTGTCACCAGCTGTGCCACGAGCCCCGCGGGCGTCCTCAGGGTACGAGGCTCGTTTCTTCTGCTGCACTCTGGCTGTTGTCACTGTCTATGACATGTTGATTTACTTTTTAGGAATATATATTTTATGAATCATCTTAAGTGATAAAATTATGTATTCTTACTGGATTTTGTACAAACATTATTTGCTATGCAATATTTTATATTGGTGTCCTTTCATATCTTTTTTTAAGTTACATATGAAATACTAAACTTTTGCCTGTTTTCTCTCTTGATGGTTTTCTTGAGCATTCTCTGTTGTTTTCACCCTTGTCAGATGCTCTGACATAACCAGGCATAAGCCCGGGTTTCCTTGGAGGACAGCATGGCTGAGGGACGGTGGGGTGGCCTCCTGGAGACTCGGCATGGGCCGTCTGAGGCGGGTGAGGTGCCTGCCCTCTATTGTCATGGCTCCCGTTGGTTCTGCCCTCCCCCAAAAGGACCCTTGTAATTACATTGGTCCCACCTGGAAAATCCAGGGTCACTGCTCCGTCTCAAGGTCCTTACCTTAATCCCACCTGCAGAGTCCCCTTGTCACTCATTCACAGCTTCCAGAGATTAGGATGGGGACACCCTGGGCAGAGGCCGTTTGTCCACCAGAATCCCATTGGCCAGAACCCAGTCACATGGCTGCGCCTAGCTCCAAGAGGTCTGGGAACTGCCATATCAGGGTGTTATTACGACTGAGCAAATGGGAACAGGTTTGGGGGGATGTTTAACCTTGGCCACAGCTGTTGGTGGAGAAACTGAGAAGAGGCCTGGTAGCACTCTTGGAGACAGAGGACCGGGATGGAGGATGGAGCGTGGCCCAGAGGCAGAGTATTGTGAGGTTTTACAGCAAAAACTTCACTGTTAGTTCATTGCAGACTCGGATAAGAAGGGAGCGCGGTGCCTGAACACTGGTGGGCGGTGAGCCAGGCTGTTCCTAATTCTGGGGTGATGAGAAGGTAGCAGAGTGGTGGCCAGCCATCCCAGTGTGCAGATGAGTAGCCGAAACTGCTGTGGAAGCAAGCCTGGGGTGGGTTGGAGGGGTGTCCCCTGGCACCATGAACTGAGGGGGCTTCCTGCAGTTAGGAGCAAGACCCAGGGCTCGGATGTGCTCAGACACGACTGAGCAGACCCCGGAGAGATGGTCAACGAGGCAGTGAGGCAGCCCAGTGGCCAGCTGCCATGTAGGTGAGAGGTGCCCCTGACTTAGACCTTGGTCCTGTCGGTGGGGTTGAAGAGTACATCCGTGCTGGAGCCAACCTGTTCCCCATGGCTTCTGCCTGTGTGCAGGTCCCTAGCCCTGCACCAGGGTGTGCACCACAGAATGGCGTGGAGGAGAGATTCTGGGGAAAGTTCTTCACGTGTATTTATGGGTCTTTGTGCCATGTGACAATGTACCAAAGTTCATCTTTGCTGTTGTTTGGAGGCCCCACCTTGTATTTTCTTAAAGGGCGGCCTCTGAGTCTGCATACACAGGGCAAGAGTTGGACCCACACCCTATACTGGTCCAAGCACTGGTAGCCAGAACAAGGGCACCAGCTGCAAGCCTGTGGGGACCCCTCCAGGCCAATGTAGTGTCACCCTCTGAGCTCCATGTGGGGGTCACAAGGTCTTGTCACTCAACCACCACCATCTAGTGGCTCGTCCATCCCGTCCCTTGTGTTCCTCTTGCCCCTTGCATCAAGGTGCACGGGGGGAGATGGCATGCTCTGTTGGCCTTGCTTCATTGGTCTTCTGCTGTTTCTGCGAGGCCACACGGCTCTAATTAAGTATCTTCAGACTTGCTGCTGCCTGTGACAGGTAGGGAGATGTGCTGGCAGAGTGCTGGGGTTTTATCCTACTAGGTGACTTTAATGTTTATGGATATGATTATGAAGCTGTTACATTCCATTTCTCTCCTGCTCCCTCACTGAGGAGGGTGATTGGGACCACTTTCTCCTCCTCTTGTAGAAAACCTCAGCCAGGCACACATGCTGGGGGATCGATGGCTGGCCCGATGCAGGGTCTGTGCTAGGGGTGGGGTGGAGGGCCTCGGCCACAGGAGAATCAGGTGAGAGAGGCAGGAGGAGTCGGAGGGCCTGCTGGGCTTCGGGGCGGTGGCTGGTGGGAAGTCTAGAGCCCCCCGCTACAGAAGCAGCCCAGCGCTGCAATCATGGGGCCAGGGAGGGCAGACATGAAGGGAGCAGCTGTGGGGGGCAGGCGGCAAGGGTGACCTCCCTGGGGGCAGCTGATGCTGTGGTGATAGATGTGGGCTAGCTTCTCAAGAGAGCAGAGAAGGAGGTAGTCCTCTGTGGTGCTCCTGGAAGGTCTGCATACCCTGTGGATTGTGGGTGCATTCGGTGCTCCTTAGGGAGACCAGCTGTCCCTGAGGACCCCTTGCTCCCTGTTGTGTGTGGCCCATGCCCTTCCTGTGCCCCTCGGTGCCTATGCTGTGTGGCTCCTGGTGGAAGGGCAGGATTTGGGTCTGTCTGCCTGGGGGCTAGGGTTTTAGGATGTAGGCTCCCTGCTTTCTGTGACTGGCTTCATAGGCTGGGCCGGGCTGAGCTAAGACCCCCCCCCCGACTGTGCTCTCACACCTGCTGCATTGTTGAGCCCTGGCCAGAATGTCCTCCCCAAGGAGTTGCTGTGCTGGTCCCCGTCCTGGCTGAGACGCAGTGGGAGGGAAAGGAGGGGGCAAGGACACCCGTTGGGAAGGGTGTCTGGGACCTTCCCCTCCCATCTCCTCCCATTCTGGATGCTTCCGAGAACTGGGAAGTCACCGGGTGGCCCCTTTTCTGAGGGAGGCAGATCCACCGGGAGCCTGTTTTGTCCTTGCACCCCGGTGGGGCCGCAGGACCTTCCTTATCCCATGTCTGGGCTGTGAGACAGACTGTGCTGGGTCATGGGGGCCCTTCCGTGCTGGATGCCCTGGTGGGGCGCCACGGAAACCTGGCCAAGTCATCCTGACTATGCCTGTGAAACGTACTGTCATGCCACACCGGTGTCCCTCGGGACCCTGCCGTGTGGAGGCAGGAATGGTGGCACGACAGGAAGGTGCTGGGTGGTGGGTGCCCCTCCTGGACACACCCGGGCTGGCCCATGGGTGACTGGTTCACTGGAGCCCTGGGAGTTGGCTATAGCAGCAGGAAGCAGTGAGACGGATGCAATTGGTCAGAGCAACTATGCTCATTCACTTATTCGTCACTGACTCCATTGTTCATTCACTCATTCTTTCACCCAACATGGACTGGTGGGTGCCCCTCTGTGTTGGGCACTGTGCAGGGGTCCGGGCAGGTGGTACCCGAGATGGACACGGTCCCTGCCCCAGGTCAGGACCTGTCATCTTGTGGGGCTCAGACAATAAACATGGTGCATCCTATAGCGTCGGTCAGGTAGTGACAGTCTGAGGGGGAAGAGCTGCAAAGGGCATGAAGAAGGGATTTTCTGTTTTAGAAGGAGGCGGAGGCCTCTCTGAGGAGGTGATGTTGAGCAGAGCGAGGAATGAAATTGCGTAGGCAGGAGTGGAGGGTCTGGGCCAGCTCACAGGGGCCCATGGGCTGTGGGGAGGAGTCTGGATGTGGTTCTTGGTGATGGGGCTGGAGTGGACAGGTGCCCTGCCTGTGACCAGCACCTGGGGGCGAATTAGTGAGCTGCTTTACCCCCGGGGCTGGCCCAGGGCCGCTGGAGCAAGCGCTGTGAGCATGGAAAGGTGGGCCTTCTCTCCTCTGTGAACCCCAAACGAGTTCTGAGCAGGTGCCCAGGATGAAGACTAGTGTTTGGGCTTCGGTTGCCAGTCGTGGGGTGCAGCTGGTGCTGCGACAGCCCGGGATTTACATGAGAAAGCCGCCCGCCTTGGGGATCTCCCGATAAGGAGCGGTTGCTTTCTTCCTGCACACAAAACCACACCATCTTTCAACGGGAACGTTATCATTTCCATCAAGGGCATTTTCGGGTGTTATTATATTTCTTCCCTCTGCTCCTCCTCCTCTTAGCCCTGTTGAAAGCCACTTTTAACTAAATGGAGTCAAATGAAAGCCAGATTAGCTGCTTTGCTTTTCTCATGTCTGATAATGATTTAATGCTATGTTTGTCTCTATTTAGAAATAAATTAAAGCACCTTTAAAAATTGTTGCTTCAGGTTTTAAGAGGTTGGAGAAAACAACCATTATGTTTCCTTAACAACCTTTTCTTCCTCCTCCTGCAGAGAGTCGAGGTCCATTTGTTGGCCTGACCCCCAATAATCTCAGCGTAGCAGTTTATTTTATTCGCCGAGAGCTTCACGGAGAGAGGGCAGAGTGAGGGAAGCAGCCTGCAGCCCGCCTCGAGGGGGTCCGGGTGGGTCCTCAGTCTGGACGTGGAGGGGGGGGTCACACTGCCCTCGCCCCAGTGGACTGGCAATGAATTTTGAGGTCCTTCCTGCTGATGAAGAGGGTGGAGGAACACCGCATATCCTGGAAACCTTGTTAGGTGGGATGCACCTGCTGGCAATGCTGCATGGGCCCTGTGACTTTGACCCTAAGGCCCAGCCAGATGTGAACTAGTCCACGGGAGGCCAGAGGGGCCTTCTCTCCATGTTGGGGGAGGCAGCACGCTGCTCCGGGGCCGTCAGGGAGGATGTGAAAGGCTGGACTGAGGAACTGTCGCTCCACCCGGGGAGGGGTGAATTGTGTGTTCCAAAATTCCCGTCCACCCAGGACTCAGCATGTGGATTTACTTGGGAATAGAGTCTTTGCAGCTGCCATGGAGGTCACGATGGGGATGGAATTATATTGGATTAGGGCCGTCCCTACATCCAGGGAGAGTGTCCTTACAGAGATAGAAAGGAACACACAGAGAAACTGGAAATGTGATGACAGAGGCAGGGAGGGGAGGGATCCGTCTACTGGCCGGGGTCCCCAGGATCGCTGGAAGGCTCCAGAATCCAGGACAGAGGCACGCGACTGAATCTCCCCCGGAGCCTCCGGAACCAGCCCTGTCTGCACCTGCAGTTCACATGTCCGGCCCCCAGAGCTGAAGGAGAATATGTTCATGGTGTTCCAGGCCACCAAGTCTGTGATAATATGTTGTGGTGGCCCTGGGAGATGAGCACAGAGGAATTCTGGTTGCATGCGGAACTGGGGGTCTTCAGGGTTCACAGAACTGGCAACCACTCTTCTAGTTCTTTGGGGGCATGGGGGACAGCATGCTGTAGAGCTAAGGAGTGACCACCAGTGCAGGGATCCTTGATGCCTGGGGAGACGCAGCAGCCTCCGCTTGTCTGTCATCCT